ATACTATTATACCTTATCTTTTATATCCTTATATAGTTAACTAATAATTCTAGTAATTATAAATTCTAATATATTAGTTTTAACCTAAATATACTTCTTAGAATTAAAATACCTAAGAATTAGTATAGTTATAAAGTAATTCTTTAATAATTAGAATATATCTTATACTTCTAGTATTAACTATATCTTAACTAACTTAGCTTTATACTATACTCGCCTATCTATAGAGATTTTACTACTATTCTCTATAAGTTTATTAAGTAGTACTATAATTTATAAGAAGTCTATAATAAATTTATAATAATAGTTTATAAAACCTATAAATATTCTAATTTAATATATAGTAGTAGATTCTAGCTATTCTATAATAGTCTTTATATACTCTAGCTCTATTTTTAGACCGCTATATATTATAATAAAGCTAAGAAATCTAACTTCTTATTAGTAAAACTTATATTTAGATAATTTTATATAGAGTTTATACTATCTTAGATAATTTAGTACTAATTTTATATATTCTTTATAATTTTATATACTATTAGAGTAAATTAGTATATTATTAAGATAAACTATATAAATTATATTAAGTAATTCTATAAGTATAGTATTATTATATTCTTAAAATACTTCTAGTATATTTATTAGTCTAAATAGTATAATAGTATACTTAAAATAACTATATCTAGTCTGAAATATAGTTTTCTACTTATCTCTATAATAAATTTAAAGCTAGTAATATATATCTTATAAATTTAGCTTTATAAAGTACTTTATCTTTATTAATTAGTCTAAAGATTTACTAACTAGTAGTAATAGATAATAATTCTTCTTAGTTACTATATTTAGTATCTAATAGTTAATATATAGATATAAACTTCTATCTTTCTTCTTTATAAAGAGAATAGATATACTAGCTAATAATATACTATAATATATCTAGTCTCTTCTAAGGTATTCTTTAATATATTTATAAAGAACTTTAAGTTCTAGTCTTATAAGTAGATGAAGTAGACTATAAGAGATGTCTACTCTCTCTTTAAGCTTAATCTTTAGCTTATATAGTCTATAATTAGAGAGAAGTAATATATCTTCTACTAAAAATATATCTATATACTATAAATATATATTAGATAGCGTGTCTTTGCTCTAATTATTACTATTATTCTTATCTTTATTAATAATTAATAGAGATATAAGATAGATTAGTAATAATTAAGTCTATATAGTAAGGTTCTATATCTTCTTACTAATAGTTATAACTTACTAGTATAATTTATTATAATATTAATAGAATATTAATATCTTCTTCTAAAAATTAAGAATAGAGTTTAGATATTTAAGCTAAGGTATCTCTAGAATCATATTCTATTACCTAATATTAGCTATAATAAATTTATTAGATATCTACTATTTTATTATCTTTAAGTTATAAACTTTATAATTTATTATAGCTTTATCTAAAGTTCTAACTTTATATCTATTAACTATAATAGTTTAGCTAACTTTACTAGGATTATATAATAATCTATACTCCTTTATAAGAATTAATAAAATATTATAATTATCTTCTATACTAGTATCTATAAGGGCCTATATAGTTTTATTACTATTTACTATAGATAATAATACTTTTAGTAATATTAGGTCTTTACTTACTAGAAGATACTATAGCTTCTTCTAATTATATATAATTTAGCTAAGAATATAGTTAGATCTTATATATTAGTCTATTCTTTTTTTAGATTCTTATAGTTAGATAAAATATATTCTATTTCTCTATACTTATAGTAATAAAGTATACTATAATTCTACTATTTTATAATAGATATTATATTTAAGTCTATATTTTATTCTTTTCTATATTAAGAAGTACTACCTTAATTATTTTAGTATCTTCTTAATATATTTCTACTCTAATTTATACTCTTCTAGTACTAATTATAGTAAGATTACTCTTAATTAAATATATTTAATTAATCTTATTTCTAATCTATATAGGGTTTGTTGGTTTTATCTAGAGAGCTATATTTCTTAAGAATATAGTAGTATTTATTAGCTTTCTTCTCTAATTTATATAGATAGTTAAAACTTAATAATACTATTTCTAGTCTTTTATAGATTAATAGAAGTAGTACTTTATAAAACTAGAATATATAAATATTTTTCTATAGTATAGAGATATTATTCTATAGGTTTTAAAGGTATTATAGTAGTTAAGTAGATATCTAGTTTAGTTATTATACTATACTTCTTAACTTAGATAGTATCTTTCTTTTATATTCTCTATCTATTCTAAGGGTATTTAGTATAAATATAGCTAAATATTTCTAGGTTATTATAGATAATAGCTATACTTCCTTCTATCTATTCTATTAATTATAGAATTATAAGTCTAGATATTATTCTCTAAATAAAATATATTATACTTTAGTAGAAAAGAGTAGAGAGTTATTAAGGAAGTACTTTTTATAGTCTCTCTTCTAGTCTTTCTACTTCTTTTAGTTCTTCTCTATAAATATAGTTAGATCTTTAGATTTTAGTATATCTAGAGAAGAAGTAGAATAAATTAGTAATAAAGTAGCTAGGAGTATAGTAGATTATTATAACTCTAGTAGTAGGTAAACTAATTCTACCTAAATTAGTATAGAAAGTTATTTATCTACTATTATTTAGCGTAGTTTATTAAGAGACTTTTTAAGTTCTTATCTCTTTATAAGGAGTTTTATATATTTAGTCTATTCTTTAAGAATCTAGATCTCTTAGACTTAATTAGTAATATACTTCTATAGTTTAGTAATAGTTTATTATAATATCTTATATAGCTCCGCTATAACTTATTATCTAGCTTCTTATTATTAGAAGTTACTTAGTATATCTACTATTTCTTTATTAGAAAGCTCTATAATTTAGTCTAATATCTCTACTTCTTAGTTAGGAATAGCTAGAATTAATACTAATTATAGAGAATCTCTATTATTTAATATAGTATTACTTATCTCTATAGTAGATTATATTAACCTTCTTAGTTCTAGTTAGACTATCTTAACTATAGTACTATATAGAGAGTAATTTAAATATAAGAATAGGGTTATTAGATAGTAATATAGTTAAATAGAATAATAGAGTATATTCTATTATAGAATAAATTACTACTAAACTCTATTAGTAGAAATCTAAGAGTATATATATAAAGGGATACTAATCTATCTAATATATAACTATTTACTACCCTTCACGCTATCTTCTAACTAGGTTAGCTAAGGTATATACGGATCGGGTTATACCTAAGACTAAGTTCTAATAAGAAGTAGTTAAATATTATTCTAATAGATTTCTATAACTCTCTATTATATATATAGAGATAGATTAATAAGATCTTATATAAAGCTAGATATAAGGCGTTTACTATAGTATATATTAATAATATTTCTATATTTAGTAAGAAACTTAATAAGTATCTTAACTATCTTTAGTAGATATTCTCTACTCTATAGATAAGAAACCTAATACTTAAAGATAAAAAGTATTACTTAGAATATCTATCTATTATTCTTCTTAGCTAAAAGGTTAATACTTATAGACTCTCTACTATAGCTAAGAAATTAGTAGCTATATATAATCTCTAGTATTCTAATATACTTAATAAGCTTAAGTACTACCTTAGACTAACTAGTTAGTTATAGTAATATATACTATATTATATTTAACTTATCTAGAATCTATAGATAGAGAAAATATATCTTCTTAAGAAAGTACCTTTAGTAGACTATATATATATAGTATACTATAAATAAATAAAGATTACTTAAATAGACTAGCTACTAGTATTATAGAAGGGTATTTAGACTATCTTTATAGATAAAACTAAGCTTATCTATTATAATCTAAAATAATAGCTTTATATAGATATTAATATATTAAAGTATAGCTTTAGAGTCTTTACTTATTATATTAAAGAAGAAGTAGATTATATTATAAAGATTAGATAATTAGATATTAAGTCTATTCTATACCTTAGTAAAGAACTCTCTTTAGCTAAGTTATATTACTAGCTAATAGAGCTAGAAGTAGTAGTAGTTATATAGACTATATATTAAATATACTATATAGTTAATAGTTTAGACTAACTAATAATTATTATTACTAACTATATAGCTATACTAAATATTATTTAGTAGATAGTACTTATAAGCTTATTAGTTAATAAGCTAAATTTCTAACTAGTATAGGTCTTATAGTATCTATTATAGTTTAACCTAGAGCTTAAATATAGACTAGGTAAAGAGTATATAGTACCTAACGTTCTTTCTCGGCTCCGTTAGATCTATAATAGAGCCTAGCTAAGAGACTTAGAGTAATGCTAGATCGATCCTTTGAATATGTCTGATATATGAATATGTAGATTAGTAGCATTAACTCGATACTTTATACACGTCACTACCAGAGTAATGGCCCTGTAACTTTCTATCTTTCTGCAGTCGACTTCGGGAGGCACAAGGCTACCCGGCGCATCGTGGCTGTTATGTTTCGCCTAGACGACATCACAACCTATCGATTTCGCCGTGCCGAGATGTGCATTTTCCCATAGAAACGTTCGTACTGCTTTTATTGGTAAATGCTCTTCCAAATCGTAACGCTTGGGCTCGTTGTAAAGCTCTCAGCGCTTACCTGTCGGCGGTTCAATGCGATTGGTAACAGATCTAGCCGGGCGGTAAAGGAACAGAAATGGACCGTCTTGGGGTGCTAGAAGTACGATCATCTATGGTACAGCTGATAATGACAGTTCAAATAAGTGACTCTATTAATAACTTGCATTTCTATGCGTCAGTCTGTTCGAATGGCGAGAAAGGTTCACAATCTGTTGCCGGCGGGATTCTCGGACAACCACGGAGTATTTATCATCCAGATACTTACGGCCAGCCTTGAGAAGTTGTTACGAACCACATAGAGATACAAATCTTCCGCTTGGTTCGTATTTCTGTAAAAGGCAGCCCATCGCAATGCAGACAAATTCGCCTCTCGAGACAATCAAGCCATCTGAACTTTTAAGCAATGAAGCCGCCAGTAATGAAGCCGCCAGCAATGCAGAAGACAGCAATGCAGAAGACAGCAATGCAGAAGACAGCAATGCAGAAGACAGCAATGCAGAAGACAGCAATGCAGAAGACAGCAATGCAGAAGACAGCGGTGAAGAAGATAGGCAGTCATTCTCCGAAGTTCTGGCTTCGATACGGCAAGAGAATATTGTCCCTTTTTGTATAAAAATTCGTGAGCGCATCGAGCCGTCATTCGGCAAACAATTCATTCCATCTCAGAGGCTAAACGTTACTCTCGAGCCAAACCTTTTTGGATCTTATCATACTCTTTTTCTAATCAAATTTCAAGACAATGTTCGCTGGATTCTTAAGGTTCCTGCCGTTGGAACAAAAGAACATTTCAATTCTACATCCGCCGCTGCCCTCAGATCGGAGGCCTTGACCATGCGTCTTATTCGAAGAAGCACGTCAATACCCGTCCCAGAAATCTTTTCTTTCAACTCCTCCCTCGATAATGATCTAGGAGTTCCCTTTATCCTTATGAGTTTCGCAGACGGGGCTTCAGCGTATGAGGTCTGGTTTGACAAGTCCATCGCCACGAATGAGCTACAGGCTCGTAGAACGCAGCTTTTGGAAGATCTGGCAGCAGCCATGATCCAGCTAGATCGGTTTGCTTTCAAAACTGGAGGTGCACCAGTTTTTGGTGAAGATGGCGACATCACAGAAATTGGTCCTATGAGATGTACTGACCATCAGCGCATGCTCGAACGATTGGATACAAATGACGACGATGAAACGCCATTGTACTACACTGCTGGCCCCTTTATCTCCCCCCGTGCATTCTACCGGCATGCTATTGACAGGGAAGAGCCACCCTCCAGTCCTGTGCACCAAGGTATCCGGAAGCTACTTGAGCTATTTATCGACTGGATTCCTGATCTCCAAGCCGAGACACCATTCGTCCTTACGCATCCGGACTTTAACTTTCAAAATATCCTTGTTTCCCCACAAGGCCGACTGCAAAGCCTAATTGACTGGGATGGTGTTACAGTTGTGCCTCGCAGCATTGGAAATGAAACACTACCTTCATTCCTTACTCGGGATTGGGATCCGGCCATGTACGCATGGAACGAAGACATGGAGCGCGGTATCGAGCCCACTGGACTGTGGGAAGATTCACCAGACACCTTGCAACGGTATCGTCGGACTTATCAAGAGCTATTCAAAGCTCAATCTTCTTCTACATTAGACACTGACCCCTCCATGACAAAGCTCTCGCTATATGTGCAGAACTTGGTTATTGCTGCTGAAGACATTATCTGTCGATATGAAATTGTTAATAAGTTTATGGAAGAAATCTTACCATTATCACTTAGTCTAGCTAAGGTCGAGGAAAGGGAGAAGCTCGCGGAAAACTTCAACGTGTTTGATATATCGTCTAGCCTTGTAGATGGCACCCTTGAGGAGAGGTCTATTGACCTCCTTCGAAGAGGCTTCGAAGCTCTACTACGCCAAGCATAGTATATAATAGTGCCTAGGGCCAGAGTCCAGCAAATCGAGTTTATATAGGAATCTCCATAGGATTAGACGTAATAAATTCAATTAACAGTTCTATCTAGTCTAGTGATAGGGGTTCAAAACTACTAGTATTGACTCTATTGATACTCTACTTAGAATAGAAGTGTTAGATCTAAAGACTAGATTAATGTAATATTAATAATCGTTCGTAGATACTTCTCGCGGTTTACCATTCCAGTCGAGCCGGGGCCATCCCTTCGGTAATGTTGAATATGGCGGGAGTGCATAGCGGCCTTCACAGGAGTCGTCTTTATAGCACTCAAGATCACAGAGGCCAAACACGTTACAATAGCACTCTGATGCCTTCGGGCAATGTACCGGATCCTTCCCAAAAATGACTATATACCATTAGTCTGACGTAGACTCGATCTGATTATTGACTTACTATGCCACGAATACTCAAAAATTCGGCCAGAAATATCATCGGCGTGGTCAGTATCAAGAATCCATTGCCTGTATCGCTGGTACTCTCTCTTCGGATTTTCCAAAATCTTTTCTTTAGTAGCAGCGAACTGAGCACAGCACGAAACCCCGATTGCCGCCGGGACTGGCTTCTGAGGAAATAGATCTTCGAATGCTTTCTTATATACTTCTCCTGCATGGACTGCGTCGCGATGATGGCCTTCTTGTTGAAGGGGCTTTATTTCGTTAGGGCAACCCAGTACCCAGACGCATCGCATGTTCACGTATCCTTCCTTTCGCAAATATGATAGTCGGAACAGTCTTAGCATCCGTAGCCCGTCATAGTCGGGGTCGTCGTTATGCCATTGAAATCTCGTTGGATGTATGAAAACAACGTCATCTGGAAGGTTATCGTAGTTGTCAATGATAAATCTATGCAGGTTACAATCTTGATAAACAGTTGCATTGCATGTGGCACCATGTACTTACGTGAGATACACCATGCTCTCTCTGCCTTTGTTCTTGGGTATAGAAAGCTCAGCTGTCGGCTCATCAACATAATATATCCACCTCTCCCATTGTGGAAAAAATCTCTTGAGCCAGGCAGTGTCCTCCGTTTTGCGGCTGGCAACTACAAATGCACTTCTCCTAACGATTAGCCCTGGCTCGCTCGATGTAATTCGTTGGGATCCTCTGACTCCGGTGTCGAGATCCACAGCTAGGTCTTTGAAAACAGCTCCTGGCTCTTTCTCTTGGGCAATCAGATCGCTGAAGTCATCGTGTAGAGGATCCGTCGGACCTGAACGAAATTTGAGGTAGGTAGCTAGCACTAGGACTATCAAGAGAGTCAAAACAACATTCCTCGATCTGAGAATTCCATGACGGCGACGTCGTATAGGTCTGAAAGGAGCTGGTGGAGGTAGTGGTTTTAGCATCGTGTCTCTAAGATGCGTCCCGACAGCGAATCTGCTGGGCCGTTCGAGGACTATCTGTGCAGTTTTGGCTATACCACATAGCATAAACAGCACATGTACGAGTCCGGTGTAGGGTTCATTGAGTCCTAAAAGAAGTCGTTATCATTGAAATTCGATAAGTTTTGAGTATTTTCCGTAATAGAGCAGCTACGCGAAGATTCACACGCGTAGGTTAGATTAGCTGATATAGTAATAAATTCTATAATAATAAAGTATATAAGTAAGATAAAGGAAGTATATATCTCTCTAGTATTTCTATCTAAAAGCTACTTAGTATTAAAGATTAATTTAATTATTCTATTTTATTAAATTTTTTATTAGATATAATCTATAGAAATATTAATCTAATAGTATAAGAGATTACTTAATCTAAACTTAAAGTTAAAATTAAATTTAAATTTAAAATTACTAGTATACTTAAACTTAAACTTAAAATTTAAGTAATTAAAGCTTAATTATTATAATTCTTATTCTAACTAATATATCTATTTATATATAATATAAGTCTAATCTATTATATTATATAGCTCTCTTATAGTATTATAGTTACTATAAGAAAATAGAATAAAATATTATATAGACTCTTTAAAAAGCTAGACTATTACTACTATAGTATCTTAGATATATCTAAATAAATATAGTAGTTTTTAAAAGTAGAGATCTAGATATAGATATTAAATCTCTTAACTAATTCTATAGATTATTCTAAAGTATTTCTAGTATATATATCTAGATCTATCTATATTAGAATAGTAGAGAATTCTTAAATATTAACTATATTATACTTATAAAGTATTTATAGAGCTATTATATAATATTTAATATTTCTATAATATATATTAGTTTCTAGTATTAGAGAAAGAGATCTAGATAGAAAATAAAATAGTATTTTATTATATCTCTTCTATTATATATAGTATATAAATACTAAAGTTCTTAAAAGATATAAGAAGCTATTAGTAAAAACTAAGAAGAATATTACTAAGCTTAGAAAAAGAATTCTAATTATATAGATAGATAATAATATAATATAGAAAGACTTATAATAATAAAATCTCTAATAATAATTAAGATAATATATAATTACTTATTCTACTAGATAGTAGTATAAAGTTATATAATATAGCTATATAGAGTCTTTCTAATACTATATCCCTTCTATAAAATAATATTAGTATTAGAGTAGTATATAGCTAAACAAGATTATTATATCTAATTAACTACGTGTCTTCGCGTTTATAGAATCTAAATAGTAGATTTACTTCGGCCTTGCTATAGTAATGCCGGTAAGTTTAATATTTCTCTAAATTCTATCTCTACTAAATCGGCCGCCTAATATTCATTTATACCATCTTAGCTCATCTTATTATCCGGTTATCCATCCTCTGGAAAAACTTACCGCTCGCTTCAGCTGCGTAACTTCTTCCAAGATAAGATCTTGACCTCAAATGATCCCAGAGTATCTCGTCTTACGGTTCACCACATCAACGACGAATCGTTAGGCCTATCGCGCCATGTTTACCATACTGCACGGACCGAGAAAGATGCAAGAGCCGCAGAATATTCTGCCGTCAAGAGAGTGCTTGGAAGAGACGTTATCGTTATCGCAGACAGCATGAACTACATCAAGGGTTTTCGATACCAGCTCTATTGCGAGGCCAAAGCTCTGCAGACACCGAGCTGCGTGGTGCGTTTCTTCTCCACTACTCGTTACACTTCGACTGACAATCCCAGAGGTTCATATTGGTATCAGTATAGACAAGTGTCGCGACCTACACGCCAGGCGACCCCCAGAGCTACGTTATAGTGATGAAGATTTTGAAAACCTTCTCTTTCGCTACGAAGAGCCAAACGGTATGACTCGATGGGATTCGCCTTGCTTCATTGTCCCTTTCGAGGACGATAGCCCTCCCCTGGAGTCTATATGGGAGGCTATAATCGGTAGCGATGGTAAAACAAAAGTGATTCGCCAAAATCCCGCCACTGTGTTGAAACCTGCCGCTCCGGAGAACTACCTCTACGAAATGGATCACATTACCTCTGGAATATTGACTCGTATCCAGGCGTATCAATCGGACCATCCAGGAGAGATTGGCGGCTCCGTAAGTCTACCCGATGCGCAACTGCAGATCGGGCTACCTGCTTCGCCACTCTCGCTACCACAATTACAAAGGCTACGGAGACAATTCATACAGCTTAATAGGCAACATAGTCTGGACAAGGCACGTATCAAGGCTATCTTTGTCGAATATCTCAATGATCAGTTCGGAAGATCATGATACCAGCAACTCACATTGCATAAGACTGGGTCCACAAGCCAAGCTCACAGCTAGGAATCAACGACGGCACTTTCTCTATCAGCGCTATTTATCTGGAAGAAAAACATCTAATGCGCTACAGTAACTGCACGTAAGCATTATTTGGTTCAACATGTACTCCCGATCCGAGCGAACGACTTATCTAGTCCGCTGTGTCTAACTCTCATTCCTCACCTCTCCTGACTGGAGCCAGAACTTAAACTTATAATGACGTGGTGGCATGACGCTTAACCTGGTATTTCACGTGTTTCAAATTTCAGTGCGTTTCGTGACAAGTGATATATTGACCTAGAGACGAGGCTTATGGACAGAGACAGCATCCCTAGAGTGGGGCACTGAGACACGTAGCAAGATCTCGTCCATAGAAACATACGGCCCTACTTTACGTGATGTAAGTTAAAATAGTAAGGCGTACGATCGACATTGAGCCGCATGCATAAGCGAAAATAACTGCGTGTTTCAGTAACCATTTCCATAGCGTTGAGGATGGCGATTCGTCCATGATATATGGATGTTGAGTTGTCTCCAGCAATAGTGTCCCCTCTGCTAGCACCTACGGACCGTTAGCTCGGCTATATGGGCTAGGTAGTCGGGGTTTGATGCGGCGATATGGTCTGCCAACTCACTCACGCATAAGATCCCGCTTCACTCTGAGACGAATTATAAGGTGGACCTCTCTCTCCAGGCTCTCTGCCCGCGTCATTGCCCTGCAAGCTGCAAATATCGCTCTAGTGCCGCGCTATAGCCCATGATCGTCTTTTCATCCTCCTTCTCACTCATCACTTCCACCTCTCAGCCCCCCGCCTCTCAGCCTCCAGTCTCGTGATGCTGCTTTGGGCTACTTTACTTTCATGAGAAAGAGGGATCATCTCTTGTCCTCTTCCGTTATCCCTGAACCAGTGCCTTGTCTCTGATACAGTCGGCATCATAGCTTAGCATAGCATGGAAACGCCAAATTGTGCCATTTGCAATGCACCGGGCACCCCCGAATGTCCATGTGAAGCAGATAGATTGAAGATTGCAGTCGAACAAGCACAGAGGCGAGCTTTGGATCCTCGCTTGGCGGAGATACGGTAAACAAGCTGGGCTTCCTATACTTCATATAAAAGAGATTAGCTGACACAAGTCCAAGAAGTTGGGTTATTGATCACGCACGAGAGGCTGTTCTTATCAGACATCAACAAATGACAAAAGTCCGAAATACAGCACATACCACATATCTCTCATCTCTGCCATACTATAGCATATACATGCAATACTCGGGTAACCCACCTCTCCATCCAGTCGCAGTCCAACAACTACAACATCAGATCCGTGAAGCTCACGCCGAGCTCAAACGAGGTATCGATGCCGACTGGAGAGCATCGATCCAGCGATATCCAGAGGTACACGACGAAGGTTAAAACGGCTAGTTGGGCATATCATATTAACGATGGACAGGTACTTGACTACTTTTTCAGCCTTGTTGAACTGAGACTACCTAATCACCCCCTTGGGTCTATGGAGCCACCGCCTTTCGGAGCACCCGACTTTGGCAGTCCACCGCAGCGTAAGAAGAAACACAGAAGGGAATTGAATATTATGTCACCTCATGCACGCGTTCCCAGGGCGCCTGGTGAACAGTCGTATGTTGTAACGGGACACCCCCGAGCACCACCGGTGGCACCACAACCCCCGGCGAGCATTTACGGCTACCACTAAGCACCTACAGACACCTACAATGGATCGCTGCTGAGTGGTACGACTTCCTCTTCAGAATGCATCATGTGATCGTATGGGCTAGTTCCTAGTGAGCTGGACCAGATCATACATATTGCAGGGTTTCAGTAGCCCCATACCCTTCATTACTTATTGATGATCTTCCGTGAAGAGATCATATTACCTTGTATAAGTCGAGTCTCCAAACATGGTTTTCGATCAGATATTGGCACACAAGATACCACCAAAGCCCTTGTTGGCGAGAACCACATAAAAGACCTAAACAGGCCGAAGGCTTACCTTGTGCCCAACTGGATAGGGCGTGTTGGCCACAGCTTTCCCGACAAAGGTGGAGAGGCCGGACCGACCGCTGCCTTGATAAATTGATTACATGCATGGTGCTATCATGAGAATAGTCCCTCGACAAAGTATAGTAGAATTACCACAAGTACTATAACTCTATCTATACCAGTCATATCTCATTATGGTAGTATACACGGACTATGTGTACCTAATCTTCTATGAAATGAAGTAACTCGTTTGGTAGAGCGCTATATATGAGGTCAGCTAGTACAGTATTCCGAAGTTTCTCTGTAAAGTATTATTTACCATCCCATGTATTAGGAGTATAATTTGCTGTATGTTAGAATACGTACCATGTCTATAGATTTGCTAGACTCTCAAAGATATAATATATTGAAAGAGGTCACGACTTTACTACAGTACTCAGAGTCTGGAGTGAAGTCTCTATAAAGGTATAGATTATCGTACAGGTCTTACAGGTTCTTACTAATCATCATTTATAACGCAACTATTTCGAATTTTACCTAACTAGATGATTTTGAACATGGTGGCGAAGGCAGATATGCGTAGCGAGTGACCTCTCGTGACACACGTGGCGTGCGCATCACGGGTTTGTTATTTTTCCTCTCCTAATAGTCTGCCTGCTATTTCCGGCGTCGTAGACAGCCTCTGCAATGCTTTTCCTGTTTCGCCAGCCGTGATCATCCCGATCAAATATCACAAAGTCTGCTGGATCACCGACGCTAAGCTCGAGAGAACCACTAGCAGTTTGTTCCTCGCCGATCAGCGTTTTCGCTCGAATCGATACACATTCCTATGTTTGATTAGCCATAACCATCGTGCGCTAGAGTCGTACTTACATATAATAGTTCTGCGTCGGCTTTCGTAACGGCATGATAAACACCAACACCAAGACATGCAACGGCTAGGGGGTCACAAGATCCATGAGGAGTGAACGCATTCCCAACATTATTGACTGCAATGGCAGCGTTCAAATCAAAATCTCGAATCAGCGCTGTAATAGGCAGCGTTCCTCTTGCTCCCGGCGCAGGTCTTATTATGAACAGATCTGATGTAGGGAGGCCCACGAATGAAACAGGTAGACTGCGGCATTCGTCTCTTAGTCTTTCCCATTCATCACTCTCGAACAGTGTGAAACGAGTGCAATGGCCCATGCAAATGCCTTTTCCACCGCGCTCGTTCCAACCACGTTCTTTTATGGTTTGCAACGCTGACCAAATCATAGGTTCTTTCTGGTCGTCCAAGTGGTAGTCCATATGCAGATCGAGCATCTTGTCATTGGCAATGGCCAGGCTACTGATCCAGCGCATGTTCTGCTTACACTTGCTGACTTCAGTTTCGACGTAGGGAGTGCTTCCAACTACGTCCACACCCTCTGTTTGTGCTGCTTCTATCATCAGCACCCTGATCTCCTCCCCTCCATCTTCGCCGGAAAATAGGGGTAACTGTGCAAAGGCACAGATCTGGATGCTGCACCGCTCAACAAACTCGCTCTTGAGTTGAAGTCCAGCATGCAGACATCTGAAGTTGACCTGGCCATCGACCTCGACAAAAGCGCGCATCGACGTTACACCAAACGATATGCTCTCCTCGATGAGCTGTCTCCCTCTTCGCAATAGATCGTCTTCTCTAAACCTAGCTTTGGCCTGGCCTGTTAATCTCATTGCTTCGCTGAAATCACCCGAGATGATTTCAAGATCCGCATACTTTGAATCTTGCAGGAGAAAGCATTTGTCTAAATGAATGTGAGCATGGCACAAAGAGGGAGCCAGTAGTCGCCCAGACGCGTCTAGGACACCAGGACAGTCTCGAGTGGCCAGGGATTCCGCCGTATGAGGTTCAATCGAATATATTAGGCCATTAGAGATTGTTATATCCCAAAATCTGGATACGGACCGTTGAGGCAATCGAACGCCGAGTATCTTATGTACGGGAGCTGCTTTGGTGACGTCTGCATCAAAGCTGACGCTTCGATCGGTTGAGGCTCTCGTACCCATTATGACAAGAAGTAAAGTATGGTGTGAGAGGATTGGAATATAGGCGAAAATGATAACAAGTGAGGTGTATTTCAGATCTGCATGGTGGCCTCAAGTGCGATCGTACATTATGATTATGGGTCGATGCAACCACTGAGTGTGGAATGAAGAATAGCAGCCCAGGCTAAAGCAAATTCGAGTGCAACACCAACTAATATGAGTGAACAGCGCGATAAGAAAGTCAAACCCAGCAGTCTTCTTCGATCAAGAAGCGGAGGAGTTTCCTGAACGACAAGCACGAAGAGGGTAATAGACGGAGGACATGTGATGATAAAGGTTGTCGATGTGGCCCCCCACCCCGGCCCCGCAGTAAAAAGGGGGGCGTTTCACGCCCCAATTTTGACTTCAACGTGCACCACAAGTAGCTAAACGCGTCTCTCCATCAGCTCCATCAACGGGTCCGGTCATTGTCAGGCAAACTTCTGCTTTCACATCATCGTGTTGCTTCAAAGGGGTCTCAGCAATCATTGAAGAGTCATAATGCAAACTACCCAGTACCGAAATTACCCGCAGGCGACAACTCGCTCGCCGCATGGCTCTGCTAATCGGCGAGGGCCTGGTACGTATACCCTTCCTGACGTACTCACTAATCACACGACACATTCTACCTTCAACTGAAGCTGCCACATATACCGTGAACTCTTCGATGATCACTAAGGCTGACTTGATGCGTACATTCCGCAATGCAGGTCCTCTTACTGGCGTCCCTCCACCGCATACTGTGAACGCAGCAGCGCAGCAGCAGTTGCAGATGCAACAAGCCGCCGACGCGCACCGACGCGAATTGGGGAAACGTATTGCGCGGAAGCCGACAGACAAGAACTTACCAGATGGCGTTGAGGATATTATGATCGGCGACAGTGTGCAGGAATATCGCAAGCTGCGGGACGTGGAAAAGAGGCTAGACTCTGTCATGATGCGCAAGCGGCTTGATATCACGGATTCTATGAACCGCAGTATGACTAGATATCGTACTATGCGCATATGGATCTCAAACACCGCGGAAAACCAGCCATGGCAGCAAGGAAGCATGGAGACTGATGTATTCGATTTCACTAGCGAAAACAACGCCACGTATAAAGTCAGAATAGAAGGGCGACTGTTAGACGACGATGATGATGGACTACCAGGGAAAGAATGGGACAAGGGAACTAACGGAGAGGCAGACGAAGACCAAGATGCAGTTGATCAAGACGGCGACAATACGACCAAAAGAACGGCTACGAAACCAGCCTCGACTTCTCAACGCACGAAACTCTCGCACTTTTTCAAGTCAATCATTATCGACTTCGATCGCTCGAAACATCTCCAACCGGACGGCTTTACGCAAATAGAATGGAAAAGACCCACCGATCCCGCTTCGCAAGAGGCCAACTTCGACAGCCTCGAATTTGAGCGAAAGAGCGACGAGAACATCAATGTCACGGTCAATCTCGTGCGTGATGATCAACCAGAGCGCTTTCGACTCAGCAAACCGCTTGCGGAATTACTCGACACCGAGGAAGACGAACGCGCTAATGTCATGATGGGCATCTGGAACTACATCAAAGCGCAAAACCTCCAAGAAGACGAAGACACGCGACGTGTGCAATGCGATGCTCGTCTGAAAGCAGTATGTTGACCTCGCGTCTCCATGCGCGCCGTCACACTCCCAATATTAACATTTTCCAGGTTTTCAGCACTGAATCCATATTCTTTCCCCACCTTCCACAATACATAACTCATCATCTCTCCCCCGTCCCGGCTCTACAACTTCCATATACCATCCGTGTTGACCAAGCCTACATCTCCGCTTCCTCGACGTCCCCAGGCTCATGCGCGACACCGACAGCCTCCTCACCTACCATTTATGACATCCTTGTACCAGTCCCAGACCCCTTCCGCGAGACCATCAACAGCACGATCCGCTCACCGCTGGTCGCATCCACCCTGCGCGTCATCCAAGCGCACGATGAGCACATTGCGAGTACAGTGCAGGCCATTGGCCATGCCAAGGCGAAACATGCTTTCTTCACTAGCATGAGCCGCGATCCAGTTGGGTTTGTGAAGCGCTGGACAAGCAGCCAGACGCGAGATCTGGAGGTCATCATGGGCGAGGCGACGAGGGGCGGAGGGGAAAGTGGTGAGGGCGAAGAGTGGCGGAGAGGAGGGGTTGAGGGTATTTGGGGTGGTGAGAAGGCAAGGGAGAGTGTGGGACTGTGGTTGGCGCGACCGAAGACGACGCATTGAGGAGGCCAGGTTCAGTCTACATCAGGATTGTACTCTGGGTAGAAAGGCACAAGGCTACTCTGGAAAATTTGTGTGGATGCTAGTTGAAAAGGCGTACGATCCCGATACTTGACACTCGCAAGACGCACATGGTTGGCTTTGTGTCAAGATATCGATCCGGTCTTATTTTCTAATAGCAAGCAGGCTTGGAAGCCTACATCAAAATATGTGCTCTACAATATCGTAGCTTGTGCTGATATATATGACCCCAATGGTGAACAGTCGCCCAGCGAGAAGGATTGACTCTGACCCAGGTGTAATGCCGCATCCAAAAGGCGCAAATTGATTTAAAAGGTAGATGAAACCGTTTGAGCACCGAAAGTAGACAGATTGTCGTTTATAATGGATGAGGGATGTGATGCTACTTGTTTCATTTCAAATAGACGAAATGAAACAGAGAATGGGGCGTGTGGTGCATGCAATGACCGATACTATTACAGCAGATTTTTTCAATCTGCAACAGCTGTACACAAATACGGCTACAGCATGATGACTACCACACCGCACACGGCATTTATGTCTTCGAGTAGTAGTAGGGGAAAATCGAACAGGTCGTGATGAATGGGGTGAGAAGCTAGGCTGGAATTTAATAAGAACGCCGAAACGCCAGTCGCTATCACCGATGAGGTGTGTGTGCAAATGCTATTTGGCGAGTCCATGCAAAGTGGAAACAGTTTAAGGAGGGTATGTGTGCGAAAAGAAAACGCAAAAAAGTCATTGAGGGTGCCGGGAGAGGTATGCCTGTCAGAAGACAGCTGCTAGTCCATTCTTAGAGACTCGTTTGCTGAAACGGTTCTTCTTCTTGACAGAATCGTTGTCTCCGTGATCCTTCAAAAGATATCGATTTCGGGGGACATCTACGCCTTCCAGAGCGGCATCCGCTCCTAAACTGCCAGACGGACTGGAAATTACTGAGCCCATATCGTTGAACGATTCCACAGAATAAGAGTTGGCATTATGTTGTTGCATTGCGAATTCCTTGGCTCGTTCTATGACATCCATCCATTCCTGGCACGAGAATGCACTGCCGTCGGGATCGCTTGTAGTGGCTTTAGGATCTTCAAAAACGATGTGTTTGTCACGCTGAACGAACGTTAATCCCGCATACATCTGCTGAAAACATGATTTAATTGGACTTACTGTTTCAACACACCAACAGGTCAAACCTCGAGCATCTTGGTATTTTTTGTAAGTGGTACCCGGTGTCAAGAGTGAGACCTCCTGCTTCATTTTCTTTTCCTCTCCGCCAGCTGGGACCAGAACGACTCTTGCACTAGATGTCACCATGACCAGTCTTTGTCTTTTCTTTTGTGAGCTGCCCCCAAAGAATCTAGAGAACTTTTTCGGCGTTTCGGATTCGGCTGTCTTTCCAGTTGGAGAATGAGGTCCAGCACTTGATGTTACAGTGAGATTTCCAAGCTTCAAAATCCTTTCATTCGTTTTGGTGAGTACTGGCGACCATTCGATGTCCAACTGACTCGGCGGTGGCAGTTCTGTGATCAGTCTTGCTGGGGCGTGGGGTCGTAAAGGAGCACTACTGACGGCTGGGCTGATCGTGGAAGGGCCTGCTGTAGCATGAGGCTGTACAGCTGAAGCTCGAGAGAATAGGCCACCAGAGATAATACCAGATTGGGTTTGGAAGACGTCTGGTGCAGATGGGTTATATGGCTTGAGTTGAGGAGCGCGTTCCTTCCAAAGACCGATACCCCAGTTGATGCCATCGAAGAATTGGTGGTTCTTGATGTGCTCAATGGGTAACCTTCGAGCCGGATCAAGGACGAGAAGTCTTTCTACCAGGTCGCGCGCTAACGGAGGGAATCCCTCCGGGAACGTGTAATCCAGGCCTACTATTTTTTGGAAAGTCAAATATTCGTTCGCTGCCTTGAATGGCGGCCGACCCGTCAATAGCTGATATATCATGCACCCAAACGCCCACAAGTCGCTAGCCTTGCAAGCATTCTTCTCCGTCAGTAGCTCAGGGCTTACATATTCCGCCGTTCCAACAAAGGACACCGCTCGATCGATATCCGCGCCATCTAGGGGATCGCCAGAGGTCACCCCAGTGCCTCCATAGGGTTTCTTCATATCAAGAAGTTTCGCAGTACCAAAATCTGTGATCTTGACGTGCATTTGCTCGTCCAGGAGGACATTCTCCGGCTTCAAATCTCGATGTATGACGCCTCTTGTGTGTATATAATCGATCGTATCCAAAATTTGCGCACCATAAAACCTTGTACACTCTTCATTAAACGTTCCGGTCTTCTTCAGAAATCCAAGTAGTTCGCCACCATTTGCCATGCCGAGTACAAAGTAAAGCGATCGTTCATCTTGAAATGTGAAGTAGAGTCGAACGACACCAGGGTGCTCTGTCAGTCGATTCAAGGTGTCCCTCTCGATATTAACATATTTCACTTTTTTCTCTTTTATGATATGTCGCTTGTCTAGAACCTTGATAGCAAATTCTCGCCCAGAAGATCGATCTGTTGCAGCAAACACTGTGCTGTATGAGCCCTCTCCTAACGTTCTACCGAGTTGGAAATCTTGGATGCCCTTTTTCACTACTCTTGAGATCGGCTTGCCATTTGCGTCAACATCTTGTTGTACTCTGATTGCAGCCCCCCTATCTTTCCAGTCCTCGGTGCTCGAGATAGTCCCACCCTCGAGGCCGTAGGATGAACCTGATAGTGGCAGCTGACCTTCCGGGACCCGTCTCGATGGTCTTCGTGGAGGAACTGCTCCGCTAGCAATAGAGTTCGATTGCGGTGCCCTGTAGCTTTGACTTGTCACCCGGGTCGGCATACCAGCCTGCAGTGCAACTGCAGCCGCTCTTGAGCTGCTCCGGTTGACTCCAACTGCAGAGGTCTGACCAATTGAATCGTCTCTATATCTGTAGGTACCACCAGAGTTGATGCCTGAACCTGTGGAAATGTTCGGATGGTTGTAGATGCTGGACATTGGACGAGAGGCTGGATTGGAGGATGGGTGGTAGCGGGTCGAGGTTGAGGAAGCGCCATAGAGTGCTTGTGTTGCAGCTTGGTGGGCGAGAGGCAATGATTGCCGGTGTGATAATCGTGAGTCTGCCATTGATTGCTCAGGGCTAGACGATTGGGATAAAGGGTATGAATCGGAAGTCGATGGTACGAAGGATTCCGGATTGAAGCCTAGAGAGCCGAGCGCGGAGGTATCGTCGGAGTCCAGGGACGGTAGTACACCCTGTGACCTGCGTTGATCAATTACTGACCTTGTGGAAGAGTCCAAGGTCTGTGGATTTGCGTGAGAGGACGGAGAGTGCATAGCAGGAGTGGCTGGTGGTGGTGCTGGTGGTGGTGCTGGTGGTGGTGAGGGAGACGATGTGTCGTGATCGGGATTCGCAATGCGCAGGCCGCCCAGAGACTGGGAAAGACTGAGATCACCATTCATGGCGAAAATTCACTCAGCTAGTGAGGCAGTCTCAGAAGTCGGAGGAGACTCTCTGTCACAATTGTATACAGTTGGACACGATGCAGGTGGTGCATGGGACAGCGTGGGAGGATGGTATAGAAGTCGCGAGGCGTGGATGTAGCCGGAGTAGGGGGAGTTGGGGAACTGAAGACTGGAGACTGAAGGCTGGAAAGCACTGGTGATATTGCAAGAGAGGTGAGGTAGCCAACGAAGACGACGTTTATATCGAACTGGACAATAAGCAGGCCTGCCACCGAGGGTTATGGAGTGTGACAAGAGTGAAAGGGATGGAAAAGGCGACTGGGGAGGTAGTAGGTCGATGGGCAGGTCACGATAGACAGACAGCAAGTGGTGCCTTATTTCTAAGGGTATCAATTATTATCTCAAAGTTGTGTGTTGTGGTGGTGCAGGTGGCTGAAGGGCTGTAATTTGGGGGATAGGACTAAGCTGCCTGAGACTGACAAGGTACCTAACCTACCTAGATTTAGGCTACTCTGGGGGCTGTTGGGGCTCTTGGGGCTGCTGTTTGGGCAGTATTCTACCTGGCTCGGCGGGCGGGCGGATGCGCAGGGGGGGAGGTCAAGCAGCCCTGATGGTGCTTTAGGTGGTGCAGTGGTAATTAGTGTTGTTGGTGTTGGTGCCTGCTGCTGGGCGAGTCGGTACTGCGCCACACCCCCGGCAAATGCCACCACTAAATACTGTACGTTTTTTATACTGTAGGTATTGTAATAAGTAGGTAATTACCGTGAACCACCACCACCACCCTACACCCTTCTCGACTTAAAGTTACTAAGACAGACTAATTAACGCTGGAACCTTCGTTCATGGCATCAGGGTCCCATATGGCTGTAGTGCAGCCTACTCAACCATATCAGCAGTTTCATTTTCGAAACATGCGGCATGTCGTCCAAATTTCCTATTCCAGCTTCACAGGAAGAACCACCCGGATCTCCAGACATCTCAGAGATATAGGTACGTTGTAGGCTGTTAGGCTTGATTCAGGAGCCACAATGCTCGCAGCAGGAAGCTTCGATGGCCAGCGCTTGCAACAGTGAGATATCTGTATTCACATACACTCCTGTTGTCTTACTCTTCTCTCGACTCTCGACTTGCCACTACGTTTGCTTTTCTTATTCGGTGTTGTTTTGGATATACCCTGCGTCGCTTTCATTCGCTATTCGACATGATCAGGACCAAGCCCTCTGAGATCGCCTTGACTGCAGCAGATATAGAGCAGGCTCTCAGTCGTGCAAGCAAAAGGCGTGCTGTTGATACGAATAAGGTCGATAAAGTGCCGCCTCGTCGACCAGCACAGACCAGTGGTCCAAAATCCAGACAAGGACCGCAGCGCTCCCGAAACGACGCCATCACAACAGCAAATCTTTCCGAGTTGCGATGGCAGTACGCTACCCCTTCGTCTGCAGAGTTCTCTGATGACTCTAGCGCGTTGACAGCACGCCTGGCACAAGTCGACTTAAGTACTTGCTCACCGATACATCATGCTTCGTCTCCTACTCTACTTTCATCGAGTGCCGGAACCAAGAGAGGAATCCCAGCTATCAAAAAGATCTGTGATCTCACCGAGGCGGTCGAGTCGGGCTTTTCCGGGCGTGGTGTTGGTGCATCACAAGAGACTGGGATCGGACCAAAAGAATATAACGGTACTTGTGACAACCACACGCCTGACTCTGATTATGACGACCAAAATGGCCTTGCGGCTGCGCAGGTCAGTGCGACTGGAGGTCCTATAATTTTCCTGTGCCTTCAGTCTTTGATTAACAAAACTTGCGACAGTCTACTTCGTGTGCCAAATGGAAACGCTCTAGTCTGTCTAATGCTTCGGTGTCATTGCACGATTTTCCGGAATTGCCCTTCATTCGCTCCTCTCTGCCTCGTCCCGGAGCACTCACTTGTGAAGACGAAAAGCTCTCGACCAACATTGTGACAACTGCGAGCTACTCGGATGAAACTTACCCTGTACAAATCTTGGGGCCCATACCCGTGCCAGAGTCTGCTATGGAGGCTGCAATATACAACATGTTGTCGCCACTGGACATGGTAGAGCAAAGAGCGAGCTTAGCAATGTCTAGAGCACCATCTTTATTGGAGTCTACTTTCGGATCATCACCATTCAACAGTCTACCTCGACGTCGCCCACCTCGCTCTGGACTTGCCCGTGCACACGTAGGAAGAAGCGCATCCGCGACAGAGTTTTCTGGAACAGCGTGTCATGTTACTTACAGTCCACCAAGTGATGCCGCTGCATCTCAATTTGGCAGCAGTCCTCACCCGCTGCTCGGACAGTCCTCTCCGACATTGGCCATAGCCAACATGTCGCTCACTGAGAACCCACGAATGGCTTCGACTTCCCGAGAGTATAGTCCTGTAGGAGCCCAGATGAATGACGTCAACTCGATCACAGGTTTCATTCATGATTTTCACGAGCAGGATAGGCATCTCATTAACGGCCAGAACACCCGATATGAGTGTCCTAGTCGCAAAGGGCCAGCTGCTATAAGGCTGGGCGCAAAGTAAGACTTTCTCCCAATAGTTGGTTCACGGCAGCATATATCTAATCCAAAGGCAGTGAGCCCAGACGACCTCACGGACGCCAAAGGTGTGGCTCTCTGCAGAGCGAGTCACACTTCAATTCAGGCCAGGCTGGCCGCGCTTATAAGTCTTCTCCACCGAGTCGCTCCTTCAATAGCTCGTCACCTCCGGTAGATATTCCGAATTTCCGCTGGACTCCACCCCGCGAGCGAACACGCCGCTACCATCGTCGCCCTGCGCCAGCCATAAGACCTCAAGGACCACATACACGTCCTGAGACGGTCGGGACTCAAAGATCCCGGGTACTTTCGAGATGGCAGGAAGAACAGGAAAACTCCTTCGAGGCAGACGAACGAGCCATGATATCTGAGCTTAGGGCCCGTGAGCAGCGACAAAGAGCTGAAGGACAAATGGACGAAACCCCACCATCTCTGGGTAGATTCATGAGACATGCGCAGTAGTATGTCGCATCTCCGGAGGCGATTGACGAAGCTATAGCATTTCTTCTGGTATAGCTGAGGCGTTTGGTCAGGATGGGTGTCGACCTCGAGGTTGAATTCTACATAAAACTGATTGTACGTTTCGTGTTATGGCCATGGCCAGAAAGCAGTACTGACTGTCTGCTATCAAACAACATATGGTAGGCATACCTATTTGCAAATATCGTTGCACACTGGAACTAAAGTGTTACTCTAATGTGTATATTTAGGGCATGGTGTGCTGTGTGCTATAGCCGCGGATATGGCAGACCGAGCACTAGTAGGGTTAGGCCCACTTTCGCAACTAATATCAATTTAATATGATATCATTGGCTCCAAGACTACTCTCCAGCCGGGATGCCAACCTTATAAATCTCGACTACCGCTTCAAATCGTTGCACTCCACCAACTCTTTGCCAAACCTCGTAGTCTTCATCGATATACTCTAGGGCCTCATACTAGACGTCGCATACTGTTCGAATTAGCTTGCATTTGTTGCACACCAAAGCCCGTAGGCGTTCAGAACTGGCTGCCTCAAGCAGCATACAACTCAAGATGGACGTAGAGATATCTCTCCAGCTTCTTGTGGCAGCCTTATTGATTTTTGTACTCTCTATCATTTATTTGCGCCGCGCCTTGACGACTTCGAAGTCTACGTATCGACCTATTCCTGTTCAGCGACCTAATATACGCCCAACAACCATTGTGGATCTTCGTGTGTATCCCGTTAAGTCATGCCGTGGGTTCTCAGTCAAATCAACGAACCTTCTCCAGTCCGGTCTCGAGCTTGATCGACAGTGGATGTTCGTGTCTTGGGATATGAAACAGAGCAAATACAAGTTCATTACCATTAGGGGCGATAGCAAGATGACCTTAATTAACACTTCGTTAGACGATAAAACAGATGAACTCGTACTTACTGTGGACGACCCCGCTATCCGCATTGCAGTGCCAGCATACCCGACAGAGGAGTGGCTTCGAAGGAATACAGAGCGCGTCGAAGCCGAGATCTGGGGCAGGAGTACTGAGACCCGCATGTTCTCCGAGAAGCTTACAGAGGAGATCTCGTTATTTTTGGGCAAAGATGTGAGATTGGCCTACAAAGGGACGCACACAGCACCTCGGTTCCTTCGTGGAAACGGAGCTCCTCAGTTTCTCGGGCGACAACAAAGTCTCGGGTTTGCCGATATGATGCCCATTCTTGTGACCACTCTAGCTAGCTGGTCTGAATTACATTCACGGCTTAAAGTCACCGGAAACATTGGTGATGACTGGACTATTGAGCGATTCAGACCCAACATCATCCTTCAAGGGAATATACCATGGGAAGAGGACACATGGAAGATGCTCCGTATATACAGCAAGGCTCATACGGAAACAGACGCGAAGTCCAGGGAGGTAGATCCAGCCGCCACTGGACGATCGTTCATATTGGACGTCCCCTCTCGATGCCTGCGATGCCAGGTCCCAAATGTCGACCCGAATACGGCTCAGAAGAACAAGGAACAGCCGTGGAATACGCTCATCAAGTATAGAAATATTGATGGGGGCAATAAGCACAAGCCGGCATTTGGCATGTTGTGTTGTCCGAGAAATGAGGGTAGGGTTGAAGTTGGGATGCAATTGGAAGTACTCGACACGGTGAATGACCACTTCTTTCTGAGTCCTATGAAGGCTTGAGTTTTCATATATCTAGCCTGTAGGGGTTCTGATGAAGGCATAGTAGACAATACTCTGTTGCGTGGGAATTGAATGCGTTAACTGGTCTAGCTAGGATGATGCATAATGCCTCACACCTGGGTCAAGACTGGAAAAACGATGACCTTATATCAGTGTCAGATGTACCCTTTATTCAATGGTCTTGATTCTAGAGTATGTAGGACGTTAGTTGAATCGTTTAACTATGCCTAATTTGTCGTCCGCATCGAGCCTACTTTGATACTCTAGATGTATCCATCTATACCCTGCTTCACGCGACTCTTAGAAATTAAAACAATTCTACTTTTAATTATATTATACCCTTGATGTTCTTATATATCTACTTAGATATATATAGCTCTACTTGGAAAGATAGTACAAAGAAATAGGTTTTAAATAAGTAATTGATGTTCGGTTATAATCCGTATATCCATAGTTACATGGGAAAGCTTAGCGCCCGATGTTCGCCCATGTTACTAACACACACGATTTAGTATAATTAATATTTTTATCTATTACTACTATATAATACCTATATAGCTATAAAAATTACTATATATTAGTTCTATATAATCCTAATTATATATCTATACCCTTTTTATTACTTTATACTATCTATAATACCTCTAAAACTAAAGAAAAAGAGTAAAAAGAGTAAGTTATATAAAGATACTCTTAGGTCTAGCTAGCTATATACCCCTATATTTAAAAGCGCTCTAGAAGGATATAGAGAGAATATTAAGGATCTATAGTATTATATATTAGTTATACTATCTCTTAAATACTATATAAGAGTAGTATAGTAGTAGTATATAAGAATATTAATTATACTTGATCGTGTGTGTTGGTGACATGGGCGAACATCGGGCGCCAAGCTTTCCCATGTAACTATGTATATACGGATTGGTGGGCCCTCTTATCCATCCATCCCTCTTACCAGTAACATCTTAGTGAAACTACAGAGCTGGTAAGCACCAATACATCTCGCATACTCTTCAACAAGGGGGGCCTGGTAATAAAATTATATGGTCAACGGGTCAAGTGCCGATTCTGCTGTCTACATCTCCGCGCCTCGAGTCGATTTATCGTGTAGCATCGTCCCAAGTACATGCTGGCAAGGTCGACAAATTTTGATTCATTTTCAACACCGTATTCAATTACCATGATTCTTACTTTATCGTTACTGTGGACTGTCATAATTTGCAAGGTGTATACTCTGTCCCTCTTTGAAGCACGCTGTCTGCGCTTCGATCCCGGGCGATACTACTCAAACTCAACTGTAACGGCTCTCGCATTCATTCCAGCCAAGACCACCCTACAGTTTCCGGACAATGATCAGTCGTGTAAGCGTCCGAGCCAACTGATACCACAGGATATATGTCGCATCGCGATGAGTCTGCCCACATCACATCGTTCAAGTATTATATTCGAAGCATGGTTTCCTAGCAATTGGTCTGGTAGATTTCTCGCCACTGGAAATGGAGGAATAGATGGATGTAGGTCGACGCATTGGCGATATTATGTGCCGCTGCCTGACTGTTCCTGCAGGTATCAGGTACGAAGATATGGCTTATGCGACGTCCAACGGTTTCGCCGCCGTCGGTAGCAACAACGGTCATAACGGGACCACCGGCGTTTCCTTTGACGAGAACGACGATATAGTCACTGATTTTGCCTGGCGTTCTTTACACACTATTACCGGGTTCGGTAAGAAAATTTTGCACGTTTTCTATGAGAAACACCATAGCAAGTCTTATTACTTGGGATGTTCCCTAGGTGGCCGACAAGGTATCAAGGCTACCATGAAGTTTCCGTCTGACTACGATGGAGTTGTTGCGGGTTCACCCGCTGTCGACTTCAATCATATGATATCTTGGAGAGGTAGTTTTTATCCTATGACGGGAGGATCTGGGGATGCTCGATATGTTGACCAGGCGTTGTGGAAAGGTCTGGTGCACGAAGAAGTCCTTCGGCAATGCGACACCCTTGATGGTGCAAAGGATGGTATCATCGAAGATCCTACCCGTTGTAATTTCGATCCAGGTGCACTACTTTGTGGGTCTGATGCAGTCCATGCCGGCTCCACGACCTGCTTGGGCACTGCTCAAGTTGAAGCTGTTCGCCGTATCTTCAAACCCATGACAGGCGCTCATGGCGAGATACTATATCCGGCAATGCAGCCTGGCAGCGAAGATAAGGCATCAGAAGGCCTTTACAACGGAGCTCCCTGGCCTTACTCCTTAGACTGGTACCGCTATGTCGTGTATGACCCCTCTTGGAACGGTAGCCGAATGACCCCTCGGGATATCCAGGCAGCAGAGTCTAGGAATCCGTCAAACATTCGCACTTTCCCAAGGCAATTACATGAATTCAAGGCACGTGGTGGAAAGATCTTGACATTCCACGGCCAGCAGGACAACCAAATTTCGAGCTTCAATTCAAACCGTTTGTGGGACCGTCTGAACATAGGCATGTCCGGTGACCTTGACTCTTTCTACCGCTTCTTTCGAATCTCGGGAATGAATCATTGCAATACTGGGCCGGGTGCTTGGGTCTTTGGACAAGGTGGAGGCGTGTCTGCGGCTGGCGTACCATTTGAAAGTTCTCAAAATATATTGGCTGCGTTGGTTGACTGGGTCGAATATGGACGAGCACCAGAACATATCGTGGGAACTAAGTTCGTGAACGACACAGTTTTAGCAGGCCAACACTTTCAAAGGCGGCACTGCAAGTATGTTCGTTTAAATCTACATGATTGTTCTACAGTGCTGATGTCACTTCAGATATCCTGCAACGAATACCTTTGTAGGTACTGATCCGTACGACGTCGATAGCTGGGAGTGCCATTAGCAAAGCAAAATTCAGTACATGGCATCGACCGGGTGCGAGAGCTACTCTCTAACTTCATGTAACAGGGGTTCGTAGCCCTTCAGTAGTCCCCGAATGATTCCGCAATGCTTTCAGTAATTCTCCGGTGCCTTGCTACGGCATCGCCAGATTATCATCCTGGAATTGTGCGATGTATGGATGAATGAAAGAAGATGGTGACTCGTGCGTTGTCTGGGATTCATTCCATCCACCTGTATCGGTCAGTGCTGAACTTCATGACGAAATGTCAAGCGAGATGGATTGTCCGTCTCGGCTGATCACTGACCGAGCTCAATACGATTCTTCTGAACTGCTCTACCCAATACATTGGGATTTACACTTATAAAGCCTAACAAACTTCTATTTTCCAGCTGACATAGACATCAGACGTAAAGACTCTATAGAGCGTTTTAGAATTGTGATCATGCCTCTATCGCCAAGCTACATTTCTCTCGAAAGAATAGATCTGCATATATACAAGGTTAAGAATGTGGGTTCCTGAATAGCGTGACTTCCCCTCCAGAATCCGGGCTCTCTGATATCCTATAAGTCTTCCTATAAATTTCAAGTACCCGCAGCACCCATAAGCACTGTCATCATGACTGGAAGGATGAACCAGATATTGCAATTCAGACTGTATCTACTATTTTCTGCAGGTTGGCTTCTGGGTCGTTCAACGGCCGCGATCATAGCTACGGAGAACAGCTTCCAGATTGTTCTGACTAATGATCGCCTTTTCACAACTGTAAATAAGTCTACAGGTGCCATCGACAATGTGTTCCTTGATGGGCAGGACTTACTGGGAACCAAAAGCTACGAAACACCGACCCCTGGGGGAGCATCAGGGGCGGCAAATAGTGGAATTGGCCCCTACCTTGACTGTTATTGCATCCCAAGCGGCTTCTACACCCCTGGATCGATCGATCCTTACTACAAAGTCTTCACTGGGAACGATAGCACCGGGACCATGTATGGCGGTATCGTCATGGGTGAGGTATACCCTCCGACTGGTCAGAGGTTGGAGCAGTACTGGTTTCTCCGTGATGGCGAGACTGGCCTGCATATGTTCTCCCGGTTGGAGTATCGGAATACAACAACCCCTTTTCTGAGGAACTTGCAGGAATTCCGCACACTGTTTCGACCAAATACGCCAATTTGGACCCATCTGAGCACAAATGAAGTTTTCTACGGCCCTCTCCCCAATCTGACCCACCAGGTAACAGTCCAAGATGCAACCTGGGACGTCAACAATGCAGCCGACCCGTATGTCCAGCAAATCGCCCCATACTTTACGAAATACACCTTTGCGGACGCCTGGCGCGACCATGATGTGCATGGAATCTTTGCCGATGGCTCTCGAACTCTTAACGGCAATGTATACGGAGCCTGGCTTGTCATGAATACCCGTGATACTTACTTTGGTGGGCCGCTGCACTCCGACCTTACCGTCGACGGCATCGTGTACAATTACATCTCGTCCAACCATCACGGCGACCAGACGCCCAAGATCACACATGGCTTCGATCGTACGTTTGGGCCGTCATTTTTACACTTCAATACCAATATCACGGGCACTCCTCTCTCTGCGCTCCGCGCCGATGCCGCACGCTTCGCCACACCCTCGTGGAACAAGCCATTTTACGATTCTATCGCGCCCCATGTCTCGGGCTACGTTCCAACCTCCGGTCGCGGCTCCTGGACAGGCACAATCGACTTACCTCAAGGCGCATCGCGGCCCATAGCCATCCTCACAGCTTCGGGTTACGACTTCCAGGACAACGTCTTCAACACCAGCGCATACCAATACTGGGCCTCCATAACCCCGTCTGGCAGCGTGCAAATCTCCGGCGTCGTAGCTGGACTGTATCGTCTGACCATCTATGCCGACGGTATTTTTGGGCAATACATCCGCGACGGGATCTCCATCTCCGCAGAGCAAAGCACGCACACACGCGCACGCTGGACCGAGGAATCATCTGGTACAGAACTCTTCCGCATCGGCGTACCGGACAAAAGCAGCGGCGAGTATCGACACGGACGCATGCCATCCCAAAATGGCACGCTGCACCCGCCCGAGTACCGCATCTACTGGGCTGCATATGATTTCCCAACCGAGTTCCCCGAGGGTGTACAGTATACGGTCGGGAAGTCCTCTTTGGATGATCTGAATTACGTGCACTGGAGCGTGTACGGGGGAAAAGCGAACGCGCTGCGCCCTGTTCCATATTTCGAGAATGTCGCAAACTGGACGATCCTATTCAGCTTCAATTCCACTGCCGAACAGATGGCGGACGCAACGAAGGCGATATTCACGGTTCAACTCGCAGGCGCAAAGACGGCAGCCGGGAACACGGATGTATATAACAGCTCCGAGCCTTACGCTGATCTCCCCTTGACCGTGAGCGTGAACAACAGAGACATAGCACCATGGGTAATACCGTACTACCACAGTAGTTCGTGTGCCGTGCGCTCGGAAATATCGTGTTACAATATAGCGCACAAGTACGAATTTCCAGTGAGTTGGTTGCAAGACGGTGCGAACGAGTTTGTCATGAGCTTACCGGCAAATGCGACGGATTATGAGAGCGCGTTGTTGCCCGAGAGCGTCTATGTGCAGTATGATGCGATAAGGTTGGAGATTGACTCTGAGCCGTCAAGGGCATAACTATTACGCAGTAAGATCTCCTCCCCGACCCGCGACCACAGGACACGCCAGATCCTCTGATTCTTACCGAGTACGTACCAAGATACCATAAAGACACACAATAGATTTGGGAGGTCCCTGAGGATTGGTCACAGATTTGACTGAATGTGATAGATACTACCTGCCTGTAGTCAGACGGTGACAAGAGAATTCGTGACCTTCGTAACGCAAGATCAATTCCGCGGCATAGGCAAGCTTTCTGCTTCATGAGCTAGACCAATGATACATCCGGGCTTCAGCCGTTTTGCTGTGTCTATCTTGCCTTCCCCCGCCCCCAAACCCTCGTCTCCTCGGAGACTCAATTCACCCAGACCATCGGCGACCTCCGATGACAGGGAATCGCCGCACCTCAGACAAGTCTATCCAATCAACACAACCGAGAACTCCAGAAATGACACTTTGTTCATGGCAGCCCAAACGTTGACTTCATAAACCCCCACCACTGCCCCCGAAAAAGAATCCATCGAACAGATCCACCCCACTGCCTTCACTCCAGTCATGATTACCATCGAAGCCCATACCAAAGCCCAGATCAAGCCCACTTGAAGCACCACCTCCTACGTCGCCTTGTCCGTTGCCGTGAATTCCTGTCAGTCCCGAGGAGGCGCCCTGTACGGGGAATGAGTCTAAGAAGTCGAGGTCTGAGAAGGGTCCAAGATCAGGGTAGGTATTGGAGATCGAAGAGGCAAAATTAGAGTAAGGATGGGTGTTTGTAAGCTGGTATGGCGAGACTTGCACCTGATGCTGTTGGTGTTGATGTTGTACATGGGAATGATGCGATTGGGGAGAGAGCGTTATAGGTGGATTGATCGTTGGGTCGTTAGGGTTAAAAACTTGTGGTTGTGGGGGATCGTGAGTACGTGTAGTAGGGGACACAGACGGTTCCGGTTTGATATGCTGTTTATGTTGACGATGATGATGATCTTGTTGAAGTAATTGTTGATGTTGATGTTGATGTTGATGTTGTTGTTCTTGCTGCTGCTGAAGTGATTGTCGCTGATGAAGATGATCTTGTTGAAGTAATTGTTGTTGTAGATGCCCAGGCCGGCCTATTTGATTGCTGATGCGACCGAAAGATCGCACGTCGGTTTCTTCATCACTGAAGAGATCGCGGAGGTTCATATCAAAGCGTGGAGCAGATCTTCGGGAGTGTCGCTGGAAGTACCCTCCTCCCTGATACCCCGAGCTGCCCATTTCAGTGTCTGAGCTCTCGTCGGCTCGACTACTTATAGGAGAAATCGTGGACTGGTACTGGGCGACGCGAGATGCTGAGCCAAAACCAGTCGTAGACATGCACATCTGAATTGTTGCTTTGCTCATACGATCGAAAGCATCCCTGCATGCTTCTGCTGGCGGACACTTGTCGATTAGATCTCCTAGAACAGACGTAGCGGCGAGAACGGTAAAATCAACATCATCGAGTGTCTGTGGATCAAACGTAAGCAGAAACACGAAACCAGGATGGAGCATACTGACCAAGTGGCTCCGGACTGCGGTAGAATGCCAGATTGCATACAAGAATGATATACCGGCCATGAAGAGGTGATGTGTTGCCAAGAATGTGTAGTTGACCAAATGCACGCGATGTAATTGCCGGTAGATTTTCAAGACCTTTTGGCCAGCTTCTGCAACCTTCAAGTAGACCGTGTCTTCATCTTCGCGGTCCTCGACCATAGTTGAAGGGCTGGTAACATCTCCGTTGGTGTCTCCAAGTTCACCAGCAAGAGCTGAGGGTATAATCAAGCTCTGTCTATAGAGCATAATAACTGCTTGCCAATAATTCAGCTCTAAGAATAGTGGTGAGAATTGAACGCCAGCATCGATTTGGCTTGGGGCAGATTCCTTCCATTCCCATAATCTGCGGTCGATGTCCACTCTCCACGAGCGGAAGTCAGCAAATCCTGACAAGAATGGGGAGGGCAGCCCGGTATGCATAAAGGCATTCGTCTGGTTGGCTCCGTTGGCTCGAACTTGTTGAGCCTGCTTATACTGTAGCACCTGCAAGATCTCTGATTGCAGTAGTCTTAATCGAATGTAATGGTACGTTACGCATTTATAGCTAGGCTTCTCCGAGCCATTTGGCGGAGTGATAAACCCCTCTCGTGTGATATATTTATCATCTAGTAAAGAGGGGAATTCGGTGGTGATGACCTGATCAGTGATTCCGAAAGGGCGACCTACGCAGGTACTCACGAGGCGATCGAAGGAGTAGACACACCACCATAATCTCCTTCGCAGGTCTCGTACCCATTGTCTGCGGCCTCGCTCTTTCGCGTCAACTCTCTGACTATTCGCGTTCGCGCTCTCTGAGGATTCACTAGATGGCTTTCGACTTCTACCATCTGTCTCAACTACGGGGCTGTCGATCCCGAGGCCATCCTCATAATGGAGCCCGAGATCGACGCCCAAACGGACTGCAACTCCTACAATATACCACAAGCCAGGAGCTACGGGTCGAAGTAGAGCGAAACCAGCCAGCAGCAAGACTGCTTGTAGTTCTTCTAAGCCACCGCCAAAGCCTTCTGGGCGTTCAGCTGCGGAGTTTGCACCCAAGAAAGATTCTAGATGTATGATCGCGGACGCATGATATTCTTCAGGCTGATGCTGGACTGCAGTCAATCTCCGTCTCTTGTTGCTAGGAGGACTCGGAGGTTTCGCAGCCGGACCATTGTCCTCAGATTCAGGCGAGTCACCGCTTTCGGAACTTCCCATGATGATTCCAGAGCCTATGGCGTACACGATATTCAGCATGTATGACTCACGGGCCGTCCGATTCCTCTCATCATCCTGGTACACCCGCTCGAACATTTTCATGAACTCGCCTCGATGCAAGATGGGAATCTGGGGGTTTGCATGCTCAAAATAGAGTTCTGCAAGCTTGAGACCTAGCTCACGATCGGGAAACGGAGCTTGTTTGATGGTAGGCTTCGTATGGAGGCCGAAGAAGGAATCTCTCATGGATGTGCCTCCACTGACCGCGGCGGCTTGCAAGGTTGCTTTACTACCGCGCGCACTTCCGCGTTCTGAAGATGCGCCAGACATGGAGCTTTTCACAGCTGCGAAAACTACTCTTGCGAAGGAGATGCCTGACGTGGAGCCCAAGAACCTTGGGTCAGAGGCTCCCTGCACTGACACCATTCCAATGTTCGAGACTAGTTTGGTCAATTTCTCTCTATCATATTTTTCATCTTTCCCGCTTGTGTCTGCACCAGCGGCGCTAGGCGAATTATCATAAGGTCCATTGTCCGAAGGGCGTTTCTGTTTGTCCGGTGCGCCAGACGCCTCGAGATCTGGATTGAAGTTGTCCGGGGTTAGGAAGTCGATCGAGGTGTCTTTCAGTAATCGTTCTAGATACTTGACACGGGATTCTAGATAGTAGACGTAACTGTGCATTACGGTTAGCTCGAGGCAGGTCTGGCTGCAGCTACGGCGCCCACCTTCTGGGTATCTCCCTCTTCGTTATGGGGTCGTAGCCCACGCATTTGACACGCGCTTTCTCGCACGATGCACAAGCAGGCAGTCGCTGATCACATCGGTTCTTGCGCAGACGGCAGCGATTACAGGCGGAGACATTGCGGAAGGACGATGTAGATGAAGATGTCGTGGTGGGACAGTTGTCTTCATCCTCCTCCAGCGATCGCTTGGACACCGTCATGGGCACAACGCATTGCAGAACGGCGTGACGCAAGAAACACGGAGGAGAATTGAACCAGTTCAAGGCTAAGGTCAATAGCAGCGCGAAATCTCCAGAGTCGACATTGGCGAAGCGTTGAGTGAAGTAGGAGAAGTGTATTGTATGGGAGTGTTTTATGATCCGTATTACGCCTGAAAGATACAAGCTGCGCCTTATCGGAGACTGAGAGCTTGTGGGTCAGTCAGAGTAATTAGACACGTAGAGTAGGCGAGATCGTCATAGCGAGATAGGCTGATATATGCGCGGGATATTTGGGGGGGCGTGCCATCTTTGCTTAGGCGCCTACATAACTGCCCGTACCTAGTGTCGCTTGCTTACCTATTGGCTGACTTCTTATGCTGGCTATTACATCTATGATACATCGCACAATATATAGTGCCTATCCAGAACCGAGATGCAGGTACACACTCTGATATATTAAAAGATATCATGATCATTGGTTTTCGAATATGCTAAGTGCTGAGCCTAAACGTCGTAATGGCCCATGCACGGTCTCTCTGTCTATGCCATGTCTATAAATACACAGGATTGGGTATCAGTTGGGTATAAGCCGTCGCGGACTTTTCTATCAGAAAATTGCCTGCCGAATGGCCCATGACTCCTTGCGCAAATGATGATGATAATGATGATGATAGTAATGATAATAATGATGCCGAACAGTCGCTAACACAAGTGAAAAGAACATAATCCGAGGTGGTCGTTTAGTGGCGTGTTTGTCGTTTTAATGCCGCTTGGGCAGTAAAGCCATGGTATCGCTAGCTCCATTGAGAGTAAAAGAGCCATCAAATGACTCGGGGCGAGGGGAGCTACAAAGCGTTCCCTCGTCTTCAGAATCGCTTTCGTCTCCTATAGTGGTCTCGCAATCGCTGTCGACGTCTTCAAGCAGTGATGGGTGTTTTAGCAGCGCGTTCTCGACGTCCTTCACCGGTGCTTCCTTATCACCCGACATGAAGAGCGATTCGAGCGCTGCGATGAGAGATATAAGCGCACAGAACCACCACACAACTCCTGAGTAGCCGTGCGAAGTTCCAAGAGACTGTATGGCTCCCGAGATGAGCGGCCCAAAGCCTCTACAGATACTTTGTGACGACGTAGCCACACCGTTGATAGATCCTCGATTCTTGTTAGGGGCCAGCTTCTGTAGCATCATTGCAGCAGAAGGATAGCTGAATGACTGGGCAACTACTTTCCACGCCAGGACTGGATACATTATTGGAACCTGAACCGAGGTGGGTAAGAGTGCCAGGTAAGGAATCAAGAAGTAGAGGATTGGGTATGCGAAAACCACGAGTCGAAATGTTACCAAATTGCCGAGACACCGGTTGACGAACGGGAACAGGCCGAGTTGAGCAATCATTTGAAGCCAGCCCTGCGTGGAAAGGATCCCACCAATTGTCTTATCGGACATATCCAGGCCAGCCTGGAACTTGAAAGGTAGTTGTGGAATTGTTGTCGAGCGAGGGGCAGCCATGAGCAGGGGAAGCTGCTGCTCGAAGGCAATCGTATGGCTATTTAGAGTCAGCGCCATGCGGCGACATTAGTACGTTTGATTACTTACAAAGCTAGAAGGCCCGTAGCACAGACTATAGAAAGGATCTGGGGGGTAAAGACCCTGCGTAGGGCGATTGATGTGGCCTCTTCCTCCAGCTTCTCAGCTATTACAAGGCCGGCATCATCCGCCAGGGCTGTGTTGGTACCGTAAGTGTCGAGCCAGGGACGGGGTGGGAGTAACGCACTGTTTCCATCGGTCATACTACCCTTTTCGTCATACGCTGCCTCATACGCATCCGGGGTCTGAGCAGCACACCAGGGGAAACAGCGCAAGATAGATCGCCCTATTTGACATCCTAGGTCAGGCTGTTGCTTCTTGACTTCGTGTGTCTCTTCAAGAAACAAGATGCCGATAATGAGCCCTGTGAATACCACAAGGACACAAACAAGATTGGGTAGAAGGTATGGGAACTTCTCGAATGATCTCGCCCAGAAGCTGCCGGCTGAGAATAGTTCTGGGTATGCCTTCACGGGATTCGATAAGGTTCCACCCAAGTAGGCTCCGATTACAGAACTAAATAACGTCAGCTCTTGTGTGATAGAGCTGAAGGTTGTAGTAAACTCACCCAATTGCCCATATGAATGGGATGATGCTATATGCAAAAGCTTTAAAGAACGTTAGTGTTCGTAAGAAAAACGAGACTAGCCTTGCAGACTTACGACGATGACTCTCGACTGTGACGATCTCCGCGACAGTAGTTTGAATTACGCCCATGTTCCTGTAGCGTGACGGGTTAGCTATCAAATTTCATGTCCATATCCCTGACATGGTCTCACCCGTTTAGACAGCCACCAATCGCGCGCGCAAACAACGCAAACCAAAGATTTGGAGCGAATCCAAAGGCGAGCATGCTAAATCCAGTCCCAAACATGCCTGTCAAGAGTACAGGCTTACGTCCGACACGATCGCTCTTTTGGCCCCAGTACATTCCGGTCGAGAATTCAGCAAAGGCAAAAGCGGACGTGACCATTCCGGCATAGAAGACGATTTCCTTCTCTGTCTCAAATCCGAATGACTGCATCATGGAATGGCTGTAGGGAAAGACAGACATGAATGCTACAGGCTCGCATAGTCGACACAGCGCTGTGTTGTCTATTAGCATACATATATAGGGATGTAATGTGACCATGAAAGGGTACGAACATAGGATGCTCATCTGCCGGTAGGGGAATGGTGGCTGAGAGGTGGTTTGACTTGAGGCATCGCGCCGAGCGCGCCGCCATGTTGATAGAAACATATGTGTGGATGTGGAGAGGTAGTGTGGTAGATGCCGAATGTAGCGAACAGGAGTAGTGAAGAGGGGACCAGAATCCTAAATACTCTGGCGCTCACAGATGAGAGACACCAGAGCAGGGGGGGGGGGCTACCGGAACGATGGTAAAGCAGGCAAAACGTGGCCAAGTGTGGAGCGGTTGACACGGACTCAGGATTAGGAAGATTTATTTCAGGACGTGTATGACATTTGTTCGAGTTTGCTGGACGGCAGTAGCAGTATGCAGCATTGGGCGAGCCTGACTAGCAACAAACGGCGAAACAGGGATGGACTTTGCGGGGCGGCGGCGGGAGGAAGGTAAATTGTAGATGGCCTACATCCGTTTCATTTCTTCTTTCCGAGACGGAGGGCGCGGATGAAATATGTAGTCGAACAAAAGTAAGGCGGTTATGGTTGTTACTCCTGACGGCGCCCTCGCGGCTAATACACACAGACAGACTCGCTCTGTGAATGACTGACCGACACTGACCCAGAGCCACCGCTATGTGCGAGCAACTCACAGGAAGCACAGCATGACCAGGTGGTGACTGCGAGTTTTACAACACCGGGCTCGCTGGCCTCGATGGCCTCGCTGGCCTCGTACAGCATTTCGGCATGCAGTCTTGGTGCATAGCAGCATATGATGACATCGGTCGTGGGACCAGAAGTCGACGTAGTGACAGCGCTAGTCCCATAAGGAAGAGGAAGGGCGACTGGACATGCCCCTGAACGGAACCTTGGGAGTCAAAAGACAAACTATCCCATTTAGTGACGGAAGCATGGAATGACGGTCGACGGTTGACGGTCGACAGAGGAAGGCGGACGGTTTGCTGCTCAACCTGGTACACTGTCGCCCAACGGCGGGTAGAACTGGAAGACTTCCGCGACCAATCAAGATGTCCTCCTATGTGGTGATCCACACACCAACCAAGGGCCTGGTTGAAGGCATTGTTTGTGGTGTTTGTGGTGTTTGTGCGTGGAGAAATAGCAACCCAGGCCCGAGGCTTTCTTTCAGCTTGGCGGGCCACACGGTATGCTCCGCGCGCCTCCCTAGATTTCCGGCGCAGCTGTCTTCAGAATGTGCATGCGGGTATATGCGTGTGTACGCGTGTGTGCGTGTGCAACTGTGATTGTGATGAATGTCTTCTAGTCGAAGTTTGGAAGCTTTCCAGCTGTTTGTACGCGGCTTGGGACTAAAGTGACCCGAAGCCCGCGTGCCGTATCCCCGGGCCCGTCTGGAAGCCCAATCCGGCGATGCATCACAGATCACTAACCCCCCTCCCCCCTCCTCTGCTTTACCCCCTGTTGCCCCCCTTGCTCCTAACGCGAAACCGTTTTGCAGGATGGGCCGCAAATGCGGTCACATACTGTACTGTCAGTCTATCACGACATACGGTGCGAGTGTGCGAAAGAAAATTGAAAATTCTCGTTATCACAATGTCGTGAGATGTACGATAGATACTGCGATGAGTGACGAAGGCAAAGGCTATGGGATCTGCACACTCTTCAGGAGCACAGGTTACTCAGCTACGGGTGTTGGCTTTAACTTCTGACTTGGAGCCTTACGGGCCCTAAACACTACTGCGCGCACTGTACTATGTTACTGTCGCTTCGCAGCTCAGAGCTGGTTCAGGAAGTTGACATACGTCTTGGGCATGTCATTCGCTTGCACTTGGCCATCAACGGAACGCTATACTCGGCGCAAAACTGCCTAGACGGACGTGGGCGCTTGCGCAACTGGTCGGACGTCTTTCTGTTGGCTTCGTGTCGAAATCTTCGCTTCTGACACCTGTCTTCCCGCCCACTCGCGATGCGGCTCCTGTAGTTTCGAAAGGGCGGTGTATCGATGCCTGTGGTCTCCGAATGAGCGATCGCGACACGAGGGTTGCTTGGGTCTGTCGGTGGAGAATGAAGATGGATGGTCATGGGCAAGGCGAGGGGAGGCGGACGATGTTCCGGACCAGTAGAGAGGCGTATTCGGCTCTGGATCCCATTACCACGGCACGGATGTATATTTCCATTTTCCGCTACCAGACGAGGCAACAAGAGAAATCGAAAGGCAACGACAAAGGTAAAGGCAAACCGAAAGGCAAACAGTGCTCGTCCCATAATTAGACTATAATAGTATAGACCCATAAGAAGGGAGTCAGGTGAGCAGAGTGGATCCGGCTTCGGCATCCGCAGTAAGACGGCGTCCCAAACAACAACAGCATCAAGCGTCAATTCTAGCAACAAGCAGGGTCTTCTGGCATTTGACTGGTAAAGAGAGCGGTGAAAAGAAGGAGGCAAATCGCCGGTAGTAGGGTAGAGTTGTAAGAACAGTCAGGCTAGCTAGTAGAGTGCGGAGGAGCCCATTGGTCAGTAGTCGAAACAAATGCCACGCGACTTCTTATGCAGCCTGGTGGGGATCAAACGTTGAAACGCTGGGAAAGTGAGCGCTAGAAGGGGGGGCCCCTAATCACCAGGTACGCCTCGCCCTCGCCGTCAGCCGTGGTCAACAGGCCCAAAAATTCTAATTAATTAGCAGCTGGCCTGTTCATCAAAGTCTCAAGATCCCAGAATCCCAGAGATTAGAATCTTACAATCCCAGACCCAGAGTCCTGAGGAGCAGTGGCCCACAGCCTGTCGGATGATGGAGCCACAGGAACCGAGATGGCGAAAAGTATTTTGTCACTCAACTACTCTACTATATACCTTGTAATACAGCATAATAGTGAGTCCTGACAGACAACGGTCCTCACCCTCGCCCCAAAGCTCGTCCCTTTGATCCTTCGCTTCTCAGTTCTAGAACCAAATGAAGTCTCTACGGCCCAATCTAGTAAATCTGATTAGTTTATGTCTCCTCCTCCTCATGGCCGGAATCCGGCTGATCAACTAAGCTTTCCGTGCAGAGTTCTAAAGGCGCTGTAACGTCACCATGCCCACCTTCAACAATATACGTACGCCAAGGTCCGATGCGTATACATTTCCGCCCGTCAAAATACCATCCAGCTCTATGAGCAACGCAGCGCAACGCTCACCATCTAGTGTTTATATCAACTGTGTTGTCATTATTATTGTTAATGTTACTGTTCATCTCAGTATTCAACCTCGGTGATCTGGGATGACTACCCTTACGGATTTGTGCGGCAAGTGGTGCCAACGAAGCCACATCACGGCATCACAAGGTGCGTGTCTCCTATCATTCCATCGTCAGAGGGCTGTCACCAGATTCTCGGTACTGTCGGATTCGCCGAAAGAATTTTAGAATGGTGAGTCATTCGCCTTGCGGCGAGCTGCAACTCCAATAGCATAGACAATGTTGCTGATATCTTGTTGTCTGACTTGGAAGATCGTTTCTGGGTAGGGAATTTTTTTTGGGTTTGGGGAGGGGGGCAAGGCTTGTTGGTCTATCTGATCTATACCCTTGTTGTTGATATGCATTGCACTTCCCGACCGGGCGTCCGCGGCTGAAGCCCTCTTATGACCCCCGGTCGACAGCTAGGTTAAGTGCAGTGCAAGGCTCATAAGTTGCATTTGTAACATCTATTGACATTTGGATCAGTCTTCGGTTCAACAGGTGGACCACGTGTCTAAGCTTCCTAGGGATGCAAATCGTCTATCGTGTAATCATGATCTGGGCCACCGCCAGTTCGGCCCGTTGTAGCTATCAACTCCGAAACACGGGTTCAGCGCCGACCCTTCTGCATCATAGCTGCAAGGTAAGAACTATGTAAGACTATGTAAGACTGGTACGATATCAAGTAGGTATCGAGCGCGACTCGACCACCCCCTAGCTTTGTCAACCCTGGAATTCCATGCATGCGGTGGAAGGTCCATCCAGTCCTAGGACATTCAACTCCTCGAGCTGTCAAGTCTTCGAGCACATGATATAATCGTACCAATGACAATAAAGAATCGCTTGTTTGTCCTCGTGGCGGGGCGCAACGGTGTTTGCTATGGTATCTCAAGAAAGATTATGGTATAAAGTGCTGTTGATCTTCCTGCACCAACGGCTCGGAGCGAGGCGGTGAGACGCCGTATACGGAACTAAGGTGCAAAGTGCATCAATACATGATTGTGAGGTTCACGCTGAATGTCGAGTCTCGTGAGCAGGTTGCAAAAAGCGTGCAGCATAACCCAAGGCTTTTTGCATGCCGTGGGACCGGGGACTTGCGTATATGACGATGATGATAATAAAACGTACGTCTATGGATAGTCGATAGTAAGTAATAATTATTGCAGGGCACAGTGCAGTGGCCCGAGAGTGAGTGCAGGGAGTCTGCGCGCAAGTCTGACATTGCCAAAGCTATCGCTGGTCGCTTGTCACTCATTGTTCACTCACATTCTCCCATGTCCATGCTATGCTGTGACAAAGCCCGAACCCCGTCCTACGACCCATCATCTTCCCTCTAAAGCACCCGACGAACATGCATCCTTTCTCCGCGAGCGCGCGCCTACAATCTTTCAGCTCACAGAACTTGCTCCTCGAATTGTACGGCATAAGCCCATCAAACATCCATCTCCACGACTCTCTCCAGCCCAGGAAGAACTGACGGCTTGCAGTGCAAGTGTGCGTCATGCTCAGCTCGACGGCGTCTACGTGAGCTTGACATCTGGCGATCCCACGCTTTGGGTAGGCGTCATCTTCATCCGTCAAGGTCAGTCTCGGAGCCATCTCCAACCTATGGGCTGTTCATTTCTGCTTCACTGCCCTCTTGACTCATTCCGTCGGGCTGCAATAACCATCAAACTTAGGTCCATATGCGCCTTCAATCCTGCGATTCCGCATGTCCTTCCCTCTCGGCTATCCAAGCATTCCTCCCCTGGTGACCTTCTCAACAGACCTATTCCACCCACTGCTTACTCCCTTGACCACGTATACCTATTCTACTGGTGGAACCGATGCCGACACTGTCAGTGCTTCTGACGAAGAGAGACTACCCCCGGGTGTCTTCAGTCTACGCCATGGCTTTCCCCACATGTTTAACGGCGCAAAGAGGGTCACATCGACGTCGCGAAACACGAGTGATTCCGCTCGTCCTATGCAATCTCCGACCTACGCGCCTGCAAGTGGCAGTCCCTTGGACAGTATAACCACTGAGAATAAGCAACGTTCTTGGACGACGTCACGCTTACAGAAATCTTTGTGTGTCACCGAGATTCTGCAATACATACAGTCAAGCTTTTGCGACGAAGCCGTTCTGGATTCAATTCCATTGGCAGCTGCAGCAAATCCAGGCGCGTTCCATGCCTGGAGGACACATCGCGGGACTGGCCCGATCCTAACCACTCCCGGCCAAACAGACTGTAGCAAATCTGCTAACCCCAGGAGCAGCATGTCAAGCAGTAAAAGTAGGAGACCAGGACAGTGGAATTGGGAAGGAGTGTGGCAGGAGAGAGTCAGGAGAGGGACTAAGGCCAGTCTTTCTGACCCAGTTCTATTTGCAGGCGGGCCAGACGAAGTATAAACTGCTACCAAGCTGTCCAATATCGCTCATTACTGACTCTTCTAGATTCAATTTCTAGACCTAGATGATGTCGGCCTTCTCCGCGCAAAGAAGGAAATTGAGGCATCAGTCGGCGCAATACAAGGGATACATTAGAAAACAGTCGCGTTGCGAGCCTGTATAGTCTGTTGGACTTATGTGCGAGCACCAAATACGTCTTATAAAACCCTAGATGGCATAGCCTGGCGAGCCGTCCTGCGCGATGGGAGTTTGGAGCCTGCTTGTCTCTAGCACCATAGCGGATATTTATTGTGTAGACATAAGAGACCGTGGCTGAAACCAACGTGAGATAAGTCTTCCGTGGACTCGAAATAGTCAACACCGAGCAAGCACATATGAATGCTCATGTATCTTTAATGGTATGTGGAGGGTGAACGTGGCAGAGGATCATGCAGCAATAACGAGGAAAGAGCGACCATAGACAAGTTCGCTCAATCATGAACTGGAAGTCTTTTCTTGTGAGCACTGCATTTACCTCTCGCAGCCACCGTTCCCATCACAACACCGTAAAGCAATTGACGTAAGATAATTATGGCAATGCCTAATTCATTCCAAGATGACATCAATTATCACAAACAGTCTCATTCACAATTTACTTTCCCTACGAGACCATCGAGAGTGCGCGCCGTTCCCGACTCGAGCAACCTTCTGTTGTCTCCCGGCATACGACGAGTCGAATCAAGTCCACCAGTTGTAATGGGAACTCCGTCGCCACCGCTGCTCCCGACTAATGCAACCCTCCGAGTTCGCAAGCGTCGGATTGAACGATCCCTTACAGCCTACGATGCTGCTCAGTCAGATGACAGTCGCTATACGTTCCCGCCCGCTCATCAAGATGATCAAAGGCTAAACCAGTATGACGAAACCAGTATGGGGCCTAGTAACGACTTACCAGCACATCAAGCTGATCATCGAGGGAATGTTACGAGGTCAGATGCTGCGGTCATATCAGATAAAGAGAACATCCCTGTCTACTTTCGCGAATTGAACAACGAAGATTTCCCAGTCAGTCTCCAGAGGCGAGAGTCTGGTAAGAGGAAAGCTTTTGTCAAGATGCTCGACGGCGCGAAGTCTAAATATCCTCGTCTATCGCAGCGCAGCTTCACCACTACCGGTTTGATCAGAAGATCTTCCACCAAAACTGCGACTGACCCGGCTCTCAAGCCCGGGAACTTGAGTTTAAAGCATTCGTCCTTAGGTGTAGACTCGCAAACAAAGTCTATATTTGAACCGTCAATGAGGTAGGATAGCTGCGCACGCATATAGCGATTCTGCTTATTCACCTCTATAGCTCGGATCGAATCAGGCGTGATGGAACCAAGAGCACCGACTTACGCTTGATGAACATGGGAGCCTGTACAATGGAAACTTCACAGGTCGATGATCATTGCGAAGCGCCGCTCGAACACTGTCCAGCTGATATCCCGCAACATTCGCAAGCCTTGTTATCCATGCAGTTGCATATCCTGTCAGAAATATCGGTTCTCAATGCTGACGATGATGAGTCATTCTGGATCGCTATAGAAGCCGAGGCTGTACTTCACAATTCAGCTCATGCTCAGCACCACACTATGCTCAATGACCCGGTTGTGTTCGGTGAGCTCTGTGATGTCGTCGTGACTATCGAAGCTTGTCAGGGATGTACCATTCGTACAGTCATCGGCTCTAAGAATGAAGCTGTTTTGAGAGCGCACCAAACGATGCTAATAATGGTGAGAGTCGAAGTTGGCCGACGTCAACCAGCCGTGCATGATCAAAATTCTTTTTCTCTGGAAGACAAATTGTCTGAACTTGACATCGCCTTCCACGAACTGGAGACATTGTTGGGGGAAAGCTTGAATCCGATGCTATTCATCCAATGCCGATATCGGCATACTCTACTTCCAGATCATTCTGAGGTCTCAACCCAGGAGGCCTGCTTCTTGAGACGAACAAGCTGTGGAAGTCTCTGGGCAGTCCCATCAGAAGACGATGGTGGCAAGAGCCGACTTCACGCAAAAGTGTTGCATGAAAAGCTGATATTCGCACTTGCGACGGAACTGCTTGCAGTACAAGCTTTGAGCGAACTAGATCAGAGCTTCACAGCCTCTCGGCCATGTGCGTGCCCAGATTACCTCGAGATGGCCCGACGCAGTCTACAGGTTCACCTCGCTACTCATGGTGATGAATGCGTCACAGATAAAGAGGATGTCTTGGCTCGTTTGAGCCCTCCACAACCACGATTACCACGATTCTCCCATGAGACGTATGATAAGCCGTTTCGTGGGTTGGCTGGAGTTTTCCAAAGGCCTCCAACCCATGTTATCCTCCCACTTGGTGGCCTGAAGTCTACAGAGTCTGCCGCGCGTCATTCAGCCGACGATGATGTCGATCATGCTCAAGAGATCTGGAGACATATGCGTAACAGATCGAAGGGCGATGAAACGCCTCTCCGACCACGGAAGGAGGCACTGAGAGAACTGCAGAATCTGGATAAACCATTGTGGGAGATTCGAAAGCTGGCACTGCAAAACAAGCGGAGCGTAGGAGCAGACACGCTGAGGAGCTTGGCTGCGAGCACTCGGGGGTTTGGAGATGGCACACATGGACCGTGGCTTTGAGCGAGATGACTGGTAGTACGGTATTGTGGTGGCCAGACCAAAAGGAATAGGCAAACGACGGCCAAGGGTGACTTGGTCATGAATGATCTTTGATGTTGTATGTAATATGAAGGAGTGGTGGCATTCGGTTCGATATGGTGTCTCAGCTCGTGTTTACGAGGAGCGCCGGAGCTCCAAACTTGAAAAATCTCGCTTCTAGACTGGCCATGTTCAATCAGAATATATAACGTACACGGCCACAGTTCGTGCAAGACGAGCTGGCTCTGCCCGAAGCAGTGGCCTGAGAGTTACCTCATAGGCAGCTAGGTACAGTACCGTACGAGCCGCCCATAGCCTAGGCAACTCCCTAGCAAATTAGTCCCCCCGGCTGCCAGCTGCCAGCTATCAAGATTGTCCTCATCCATAACTCAACCCGCCCAGATCAGGCCCAACCCCGCTCCCTTCACTGACTGAAACAATCGTGTCGGACATCGTATCGTTTGCACACGCTAACAGTCACATTTGCATCCGCTTGAAATCTTTGTTCTGCCTATAGAGTGCTTCTCTTTGCCCTATAACGTCTACCCGTCGTCGCCTGCCCGTATCGCCGTAAAGGCCGCCATTCCTCAGCTGTGTCGACCATCTGAAGGCCAGAAACTCGAGAGTGTCTCCACCTCCTGACCAGAGCATCCGCCCTTCGATCAGCACTCGACCTGGCTCTCAGTCTATAATCACGATCTCGATAGCGAAGACATCATTCCCTACTCTTACAACCGACCTAGCATATACTTCCCCCAGAATGGCTTCCAGTGCCACCGCCGGCCTCCTAGCAAGGCAACTCAAACAGATGCAAACGGATAAGGACATACCTGGGATCAGTTGCGGTCTCGTGGACAGCAATGTTTTTGAGTGGGAGGTCATGCTCATGATTAGTGACGAGTGCAAATTCTATGGCGGTGAGTCTTGTACTCCTGCGCGCTCCTGGTCCCAGCATCGACCATGAAGTCACGAGCGGGCCTATACACTTGCGCCAGGTTTGGAGCTGGAAACAATCCATGAGAGCCCTGGAGCCATGAGCAGCTGGCTATAGATCTCTTTCTTGGGTGACTTAGAACGCTAACGCTGTGCGACCTAGGTGGCTTCTTTCGCGCAAGACTGACGTTTCCGGCCGAATATCCCCTGATGCCACCGAAAATGAAGTTTGAAACGCCTATTTGGCATCCAAACAGTATGTTCACTATCTGTCTCACAGTCCCTGATACCCAGCCGCTCGCTGTACCCTTCTCCATATCCGAATTTAGCATACTACCTAGAGTTTGCATAATCGCTGATTCCCGTGTGACACAGTCTATAAGAACGGCGAGGTCTGCATATCCATTCTGCACCCACCTGAAGAGGACAAGTACGGCTACGAATCAGCCTCAGAGCGTTGGTCACCCGTACAGACACCCGAAACAATCCTGCTATCTGTAATATCTATGCTTAGCAGTCCGAACGACGAGAGCCCGGCGAATGTAGAGGCTGCAACAATGTGGCGCGATAGCCCACAAGAGTTTAAGAAGAGAGTGCGGAAATGTGTACGGGATAGTCTGGAATTCGAGTAAGACTGATATGAGGGTGGGTGGGACCTGGAGGTTGCGGCGTGCAGGCGACTTGCATCTCGAGACAGGAGTACAGGGCGACTATACGCATTCCCTGGATTTAGCGGCAGCAACGGCCATAGAGCTGGAATATTGATGCATCTCGGCTTACCAGTCGCATTAGCGAGAATGAGTTACACACGAATGTAGTTTCTTTCGAGCATCCGGCGACGCTTTAGTCACGAAGGGTTCGCCATCTCTTGGAAGCAGTACTGCAGCCTCTTCTGGTCATGCATGCATACCCAACGTCCCCCTGAGCCTAATTCCACCAGAAGCTCACACTAAAGCTTGGGCTCAGACTTCGAACGTAATGCCACCAACCCGCCGGGATGTACAGACATTCACCCGCCTCCAGCACACACTCCACATACTTCGCCCCCAGGACCTTTGGATACCGTCTCTCAATCTCATTTCTCTGCCTCGTCTTTCCTGACCCATGCCTGTGCCCCTCATCCTCAACTCCGTCTGGCTCCGTAGCCTTACCCTCCTCCACGCTCCCACTCGTTCTCATATCAACCAAATGCCCCACGTCAACTTCACTCGTATTACTCATATCCACCCCATTTACGTCTACGCCCCGAGGATACACGTTTGGCGTTTGCTCTGGCGCATACAGCCGGACATACTTTGCACCCACAACCTGCGTCAGAATATTATGGTATGGGTCAGTATGCAGCGGGGAAATGGTCCCGGCGGGCCCAAGCCAGGCATTTAACAGCGGCTCCTCTAGCAGTCGTGGCTGCTGTGAGATGTTGGCGGGAGGAGGCGGAGGTGCGGTATAGCAGTAGTCCGGCACGGCGATGTCGGCGCGTAAGGAGGGAACTTGAGCGAAAAGGTCATATTGAGCAAGGTAGGCTGTCTGCCTAGTAGCGGCATGTATGTTTCCGTTGACCGTGGTGGTTGAGTCTGAATGCGATGGCGATGGTGGTCCTGATGGTGGTCCTGATGGTGGTCCTGATGGTGGTCTTGAGGATGCTGCGTCCAGGGGTGTATGGCCCATGTACTCATCTAGGAACTGCTTGAATGGGATTATGCGCTGTCCCCAACCGTCGTCCGTGTAGCTGCGCCCGAGTTCAACGGGGATTAGTCGCCGGCCGCCCAGTGTACGGGAGAGGAGATATGATGGCTTGGACCATGGTCGTGTGCTGAGGGCGGGCCAGTGGGTGAGCGCGTTGGTTATTACCATGGGGCTGTGGATAGTATCAATGTGTTGTTGGAATTCGCCTAGTGATGGAGCGACGGCACGGTGAACAGGGTGATTGAGTGCGACTGAGGACCTGCTCGGCGAGAGGAAGGATGTCTCGTTGTTATTGACCCCTATACTGGGACATGTCTTCCTGCGCTTCGCCAAGGGAGCGTATTCGTTGGCGTCTTTATTCGCATCGAGCAGCTCCTCAAGAGCAGCAAAGATAGTCTCAATCAACTCGGTCCTTCGTGGAGCGCCGGTCATGATGACTGCCATATCTAGGAGCCGCACGACTAGCTGGGGCCATCCTTCTTCTTTTTCCTCGCGCTCGAATTCGTTCACGTATTCGGGTCCTCCAATTGGTTGTACATGGCGCTCGAGAATTCGTGTTACTGCCCATAGCGACGCATCTGTATAGACTCGACGCCAGTAGGTGGGAACCTCACGCCAGGGATATGCATATAGCATGTCATGTGCCCGCTCGATGACTACTTTTGGGCGTGTCTCGATGATGGAGCGGACGGACTGCCCGCTGTTGACAATATCGTCATTCTCATCATATTCCTGATCGAGTGATGCATGTAAGATACTCAATAAAGCCTGTGCGGCTTTGAGTTGAATCATGTCAAGAGCCACTTTTATTTGGTCGTGAGGGTGGTGGTCGAGATTCAGGACAGCCCAATCAAAAAGTTCCCGGAGTTTGCCCGATCCAGCACGCAAAGTGATTTTTTATTTAATCACCTAGGTGGAAATTGATATTGAGTTCTGGATCAGCCATCAACGAGAGCAGACATGGCAGCGTTGACACCCTCTGAGTCCGACTCTTCATCAACGGATCCGCGGGAAGATGAAGAGAGCGAGGGCTACGAAGATGTCGAGCCAGATAATGAAGACATCGAAGTCATCGGGCTTTTCGACAACCAAACTTATCCTGATGCCAAGACTATGCTGAACACTTGCAAAGACAAGTTTGGATTTGACTTTGCAGGCACCCAAAAATCTTTGGGTGTGTAATTCTCTACTATTGAAGCACTCATCATGAAATTATTCTCGAGACACGCTGGGATCCGATGGTCAGCTAATTGCCGCAGGCCTTGACTTCTACGACAGTATCAAGCTGGTAAACTTTATCAGAAGTGAGGTGAAGAAAGGTAATTTGAAGCCAGATGCCTCGACGAAAGACCGGTTCTCCGGCGAGGAGTACCTCCAGCCAGTTTTGGAGAACGATACTTTACTGTTTTCTTTAGACGACTTGCCCGCTGCAGATGGAAGCGATAGTAGTGGATCTCTGAGCGCTACCAAATCCGGAGATGATGTTGTATTGAGAGTCCAAGAGCTCGAGGATCAGTTGAACCGCCTTGGTCTGGAGTACCAAGAATACCGCACTATGGTAGCGAAGACCCTGGACGACAGGTGGAATTCTGACGCTCCTGGCCTAGCATCGCAGGTCAAGAATACAGAAAAGTCGAAGACTGAGGAGGAAGATAAGGGATACTTCGCTTCGTACGGACAGAATGGTAAGTGAAACGAAAGAGTAACGTTGTAAACATGTCTTGACTTGGCAGATATACATGAAACGATGATCAAGGACAAAGTACGAACGGAGGCTTACAGGGATTTCATATATAAACACAAGCATATTTTCGAGGGAAAAGTCGTCCTTGATATTGGTTGTGGTAGTGGTATCTTATCCCTTTTCTGTGCCAAGGCTGGTGCAGCGAAAGTCATAGCTGTGGACAACTCCAACATCATTGAGAAGACGAGACTGGTTGTCCACGCAAGTGCATTTGACGACAAGATTACTTGCGTCCGTGGTAAAATCGAAGAAGTTACGCTTCCCGTGTCTAAAGTGGACATCATTGGTAAGTAATGCTCGTGTCGTATAAAAAGCCTTGCTAATAAGATCCAGTCTCTGAATGGATGGGCTACGCGTTGCTTTATGAAGCTATGCTTGACTCTGTTCTATGGGCAAGAGATAAATACTTGAAGCCTGACGGGCTGATGGTGCCTTCCCACTGTACGTTGCACATTGCGCCAGTGGTAGAAGACGTTGTTCTCAAGGAGAAGATGAAGTTCTGGCGTCAAGTGTACGATTTTGATCTGACGCCTATGATGAACGTGGAAGGCACTGCAAGACCGGTCGTCGAGATAATGTACCATGAGCCCAAAGAGATTGGCGCTCGATCATACGAGTTCCTACAATTACCACTACATACCATCACGGCCTCCGAACTGTCATTTGTCAAGGAGTTCAGGCTTGAGATAGACCAAGATATCGATAGCCTGGGCGGCTGGCTGATCTGGTTTGATGCATTTTTCTTGGAATCAAGGAACGAGGAGCTTCCTCGCGATGCCCGCGCAGCCACTTGGACGAGTGAAGGACGCAGAGGCGTTGCATTTACGACTGGACCAGAGGGGACTAAGACTCATTGGGAGTGCGCCTTTCTGTCCACTCAGGCTAAGAAAATGCCTGGAATTGTCAAAGGCGGCGTCGTTTCCGGTGTTGTAGAGTACAGGAAGCCGAATCCAGACTCAAGAAGCCTGGATATTCGAATCCGCTGGAATGCTGGCAAGGATGGGGGTGAGGCCGAGATGGTGTGGACGATGGGGATTGATGGCTAACTTGAAGATAGCTTGATAGAAGCTTGGAAGAACAAGTTGAATCGTATTACTGCAACAATCATTGGAAGTGATGGTTAATTATAGCCTGGACGTCCATAGGGCTCTGCGGCGGCGAAGAGCCAAGGCCAAGCTCCCACCTAGGCAAGGAGCTGGGGCCAGGTTAGCTCGGGGGGTTTGTGCTTGCTGCGTCACCACTACAGACTTCGCGCATACCTCTAAGTACTATTAGGATCTCCAGTGGACATCTACACACTTTACCACACCCTCCAGTTTCGATCCCTCATCTACTGACGCTGCCAGACTAGTCTTCAACACCCAGCTGCACGTGCGGCTTTGAAAGCACCACCTAGATATGACGCGGTGACACTTGGCTGCCCTCATAAGCTCTCATGCGAGCGATTCTCCCTGGCAAGCCCCAGCCTCAGCTGCAAGCCGCTACGACATGTTCCTGGAATGGATTACGAGTTATTGTATGTCAGAACATCCGACCCTAGCAGCATGTCACTAAATTTTATAGATCTATATCTCCGGCAATGCGCTCGTCATTCTTGGCGGTCCGAATCGCGTGCTACAGACGATATATACAGAGAGTGAGATAGGCTTGGAAGCAGTGTGTTTGGATGAGGCAACTGGAAAGATTGCGACCTGTGCAGGCGATCATGTCTATGTATACAAGCCCTATGGCCAGGATGAAGATGCACTGAAGGTCGGGATCCCATTTTATCTACGGGGTTGGCACTGACTTGGCCAGTGGTCTTTACAATGCCAGCTTAAGTTACACAGCCCTCACCACGAGACGTCCACGCTCTCCTGGGGGGCCGACGAAGAGTTGCTTATGGGTGATTCGTACCTCACCCTCTTCGCAACTCACGATACTGCCGAGGAATTATGGAGCAAAGCAGTAGCTAATCCAGTAAAATTCGCCCAATTCTCGCCGGATGCTGCGCTCATCGCATCGACTGGTATTCATGACCGATTTTTGAAGATTTGGCATCGATTAGGGTTTGGCTCGGCTGCCCAGAACTTCGATTATGCCTACCTCCCTCATCCGAGCACAATAACTGGCATCCACTGGAGGAAACCATACCACCAAGAGCAGCTGCAAATGAACGTACTGTACACAACATGTTTGGACAACAAAATGAGGATCTGGGTTCCTGGAGATCCACATGGTGTTCAGATCATGCAATTGTGGGGTGAAATCGATCTGCTAGAGTCGATCCAGCCGCGCATAGTACCAACAGCACCCCAGAAACAGAAAAGATATGCATTCATAATCGACAGCCGTGATTTCATGGTTGCGACTGAGCGTGCAGTGCAAGAATCAGCTAGAGATACCAGCGACCAGCACACACTTGACCATTTGATCATGATCGCCAATAGGACGCCAGAGGTTTGTGTAGTTCTGGATGACCGGGGAAATATGTCCGCCTGGGGCCTAGAGAACATCAGCAACAAGCCTCGTAATGCGACAGATATGTTCAACATTGCTCACTGTGAAGGTCTCCACTTACATCTTGCGAAAGACCCAACAGGAAATTATGAAAATGTTCGGTTCATTTCCTTCTGTAACAATAACTCTGAGCGCTCTTTTACTATTCTCGCACATCATTTTGATGGACGGATGGAATGGCTTGATAGTAGACTAGACCACCTATTCGATCCCACTCCTCGAAAGGAGCGCGTCGAGCGAAGAGCCATCTGGACCGGTCACTCCAACCCCATCAAGAAGGTCAATCGAACAGAAACCGGGCGGGCTTTGGTATCTCGGACGAGTGACGACGAAATCATTGTGTGGACACAACGAGCCTCCCAAAAGGGTGTCACACTGCACAGACATAGCACCGTAAGCGTATCTGAACATGTCCATAGGACATGGCTTCTCCATGACGGCGACTTCGTAGTCTTCTTACACCACGACAGCGTTTCCTTATGGGATGCACGTGGCGCCACAGCCACCAAGGTCCAGCAATTGAAATACCAGGTGCGCGGCAAACCGCTTTGCCTTCTGTTATTACCAGAGGCCGACCCGGGATCGCCAACCATACACCTTGCTACGATCACGTCTGAAATGAACGGTATAGTATGGGAATTACAGTTACCACACACCTGGAACCAGGCCAGTTCAAGGCGCTTCTCTGCTGGGTTGAGCCCCATGCAACGGCGGCCAAGTAGGTTATCCCATGATGGAACAGTGATCATACATCTGAAAGAGTTCTGCATGTTCAATCTTGGCTCTGGCAGTGACTTGGCATTCGTGCTACCTGTGGATCCTGCTGGGTCGACTCCAGTAATATCAGGCTTTCTTGACTCGTTTGCTCGGGATGTCGCTATGTCATACACAAACACCGGCAAAGTTACAACGTGGACCGCAAGGATAGACGTCAAAAGGTCAAAAGTGGATTGGCTCAGGACTTCCTCCTTCGAGACCGCTATAATGAGGCCTACCCTGGCCAGCGGAACATCTATCAGGAAAGCGGCTCTTGTCGACGAATCTAGGACTACCCTGTCCATCTGGAATACAAAAAGCGCTCAGCTTGAATACGAGGAGAAGTTCGAGCATGGAGGGGACATCCAAGATCTTGATTGGTCGTCAACCCCTGATAACCAATCTATCTTGGCAGTGGGCTTTCCGCACAGAGTGGTTGTTTATGGGCAGCTCAGATATGACTACCTCGATGCCCGACCATCGTGGGCCGCGATCCGAGAGTTTCGAACTCAAGATGTGACACCCCATCCAATTGGAGATTCTGTATGGTTAAGTAATGGACATCTAGTCATTGGAGCTGGTAATCAGCTCTTCATCCAAGATGAACATGTCGAGGTCTCCGAAAGCTTCTTTCCAGATATTCGGCTAGTCTCGAAGGAAAAGGCTGAGGTGAACCTTTTTACACTCGTCAGTCGACTCAATGGTCCTTTGCCAGTATACCATCCGCAATTTGTAGCTCAGTGTATACTTTCCGGGAAGCTTGCGCTAGTACAAAGCATTCTTGTAAATTTGCATAAAAACCTCAAGTATTTTACCGACGGCGACGACCTTGACTGGTTTCTAGGGCTTAAGACAGAAGATTTCTCGCAAAACGATGACGTGCCACAAACATTGGCTCGCAAAGAGATGCATTCTTCTTACACCGAATTCTTCGACGATGATGAGCCTCTTACTGTCACAGAAGAGGTTGCGACCTCATTAAAAGAATCCCTTACAAAATGGCAGTTACCGTTGCTATCAAGCTGCGAGCAATTCCATCTAGCAGACATCGTCGAATGCATCGGAACTCTAGAGAAACACAGACGATCAGTCGACATTAATGCAAGCCGCTTTCTACTGTTCTTCCGACAGCACATGCTCAGATCAAATCACCAAAGCGCAGAACGCTCACAGATCTCATGGCGGGAAATCACTTGGGCATACCACAGCGAGAGCCAGGACATTCTCGTTGACCTCATCACGCGTCATTTTCAGGGCAGAATGCTGTGGAAAAACGCTCGAGATACTGGTATGTTCATTTGGATGACTGATCTCACAGCACTCAGAACACAGTTCGAAGTCATTGCACGCAACGAGTATACAAAGACAGACGAAAAGAATCCAGTAGACTGCAGTCTCTACTATCTCGCGCTGAAGAAAAAGCCGGTTCTCGTAGGTCTCTGGCGGATGGCAACTTGGAGCCGGGAACAAGGGGCTACGCAGCGCCTGCTCGCAAATAATTTCACAGAAGCGAGGTGGAAGACGGCGGCGCTAAAGAACGCATATGCGTTGATGGGCAGGCGCAGATTCGGTAAGTCACTTCGTTCCATGCTAATAGACTTCTCTGATCTCCTATGTAGAATATGCTGCTGCGTTCTTTCTCCTCGCCGACCATCTTTCCGACGCTGTCCAAGTTCTCTCAAATCAAATGCAAGACACACAACTCGCCATTGCCATCGCGCGCGTCTACGAAGGCGACGACGGGCCTGTACTCCACCAGTTACTCCAAAACACGATCCTGCCCAAAGCTGTCAAGGATGGTAACCGTTGGCTCGCCACGTGGGCCTTTTGGCACCTCAACAAACGCGACAGCGCCGTGCGTGCCCTCGTGTCCCCGCTCTCCAGCCTTGTATCCCCACCCGGAACCCTCAAGGCGCAGAGCATGCTATTTCTGGCAGATGATCCTGCGCTCGTCGTCTTATACAAGCAGCTACGTGCGAAGAGCCTGCAGACACTGCGTGGTGCCATCATGGTCAGCCAGCGAGTCGAGTGGGAATTTGTCATTCACACTGCTCAGTTGTATCAGCGCATGGGTTGCGATGTGCTAGCGCTAGATCTAGTGTGAAGTTGGGAGTTTCTTACGCCGCCGCCGCAGATGAAGAAGCAGATGCCGACCTCGCCGCTCGCGTCGTATGATCTGGATCCGAGGAAGTTGTTGAGGAGGAGGAGCTCCTTAGTCGTGGCCGATCTGCCAATCAGAAGGACTATGACGCCTTCACTTCGGAATGGGGTCAAGGAGGGAAGTCAAGAAGACGATGACGAAGAGACTGAGGATGAAGACGTTGACAAATACGAGGGCGAAAATGAGAAAGAGTCAGAGAAGAAAAAGTCGCAACCGCCGACGCAATTCAATGAGCCGGACGCAAACAGCTTGTTGGATTCTTTTGGGTTCTAGAGCGCTCGCGATGGCGCAAAAGTCTTTGTATGTTTTTGTAGAGTAGTCAGAATTTCTATGCCCATGAGTTTAGCCCCATTGCTATGCCTTCACAGGACTGAATTGCTTGATACGACCTTCGACCATTGGAGCGATTGCCTAGAATGTCAGCGATTGGCACGCTTGAAGATGAAAAAGACTTACCGTTGTCCAATTCACAGTGAATTCGCCATGGTTTAACGGCTGACCTAGCTTTGCATCCTCTGTCATCCCGGCCAGCCGCCACCATTTCCGCATGACTCGTCTCATAACCTCCAGCTCTCGTTCCTGCCGACTCGACTGCGTCGAAATCGGTTTGGTGGTCGCGGTCTCATCCTCGCTGTCCGCATCAACGCCATCCGTCTCCCCAGTCACTTGACTTCGATTCGTGCGTTCCGCCTCGAACGACTCGAACGCTCCCAGAACATCGTCCGTCGGCGACTGGGGCTCCATATGGGGGTGTTTGGCCTGCAAATTCCTTTGTACGCCCTGCCAATGTCGACCCATACTTGGCCCCCACATCTTCCATTTCCCGAGCACTTTCAACGACATGAAGTACTGTCGCAGCAGTGTCGATATCAGGACACCGTTCTCCTCGGACACAATTTCGACTGCCTTACCACCCTCAGCTTCGATGAGTAGCGAATCATACCCATCCTTTCCGCGCGCCATATAGCCCCTTGTCGCCAGCTTATACACACGGTCCTTGTCTAGCGGCCCGCCTGCAACTTCACAGCTTATAATGCGGGACCCCTCTGGCTTTTCGGGATGAAACTCGAATTCAATGTTGGAGACTTGTGGAAAGCGACCCTCGAGCGCGGGGAATTTACTTACGGAGTTCTCGAGAGCTTCGAGGATAGCTTGCCCAGTTACGTTGATGACAACTACCGGATCTTCGAATGGGAAGCAATTCATAATGTCCTTCAGTCGGAGCACGCCTGGTGGGTATATTTGATCACCTCGGATAGTACCGGCGGCCATGAGGCCGCAATCTGCTTGATAGGTGTGTCGCATGAGGTCGCACACAAAATTACCGATGTTTGATTCTTTAAGTCGGACTGTGCGGAAGCGAGCGTCTAAAGGAGCTGCAGTGTAGCCGATTGGTTTTTCAAGTTTCGTCTTCAGAGATGCTGTTTGTCTTTCGACTAGTGTTACGCTTGCTGGGTCGGGTACAACATCTGATGTTATGTCCCGCCTTATGATGTCGAAATCCCACTCATCAGGTACATTCGGTCTCCGACGAGCCTCGATATAACTCAATTGCTTGAAGTCCGTACCTGATCTGAGCACGTGTACTCCATTAATAAAGCTGTGATTGTAGTAATGGTCATGGCCGCCCAGAATGATGTCAATCAGACCTTTCGGGACCTTCTCCGCCAACTTATTGTCGTTTGGCTCCCTCTGGTGTGTTACAGCAATGATGATCTGAGCACCTTGTTCCCTCAGCCCCGGCACAAGCTCTTTCGCGGTTTGTGAGGCAGATTTATAGATAATGTCCGGAGGTAGGGAGTTGATAGTGTCTAGCCATTCTCTTTCGGCTAAGCCAATCACGCCTACTTTTATGCCATTTGAAGATGTTAGCATCACAGTCTTCTTCGCATTGCCCAAAGGCTCGTTCTCGCCCAGCGCGGGATCTAGGACGTTTGCGAGTAGCCATGGAAAGTCACACTGGGCGGTCAAGTTTCGGAATTGTCTAACACCGAAGTCAAGATCGTGGTTCTAGAGAGTACAACTCTGTCAGTGCTCGAAGCTGAATGTGCTAGGGGCTAAAAGAACGTACTCCTACACAAGCGACATCGGTTCCAATATTGTTTAGTACTGGCACCATATGACTCCCTTGGGCTTATAAGTATGATTTTCATATCTAGTCCTTGTTCATCGCAGTACCTTTCGTTACGCTGCTTTCCAAGCTAGGATTGAAAGCATCACCCGAGAAGAATGTGAGCAATTCTGGCTGGCCCTGAAACTTCTTGTCGCTATGGTAGTAATTGCGGAGGGTCTGAAACCTCGCAAAGCCACCGACTGGTTCTGCTGAAGACGAGTCGACGTGGTAGACATCATTGAAGTGCAGGAAACGGAGGTCTGGGCAGCCGTTGGTATTTCCGCTTGAGTGTATGACTTGCTCCTGGGAACTGACGACTCCAGGAGCCATGATAGAAGGCTAAGAACGAGAGTATAGACTCGAAAATATGTTATGAAGTCGTAGATACAGTTGCTATGGCGGTGAAGCTGCAGAGAGAACGACTGACGAGAGGCACTTGAGGTGGCTGTGATTGGCCCCGATTTCAAAGCTCACTCATCACCGGACGCACTGACAAGCGACTTAAGGCGCACAACATAGCATTGCTAGCTGTGTGTGATAGACCAGTGTGGTGCGTAACATGTCGTCGGATGAACCGACGGAGCACCAGGAGTTAATGAAGTCTTTGGAACATTGAAGCTTCACGAAGCCAAATACTGCCCGATGCTGCTGGCTGCCACCATGAAAAGGCTCTTTGACGAGGCGGGGTATCTCACTAAATCTAGCTTGCGCACCCCTGGTGCCTTCCTGCCTGATCTGACGTCGTCGACGCGACCCCTAGGTGCATGGAGGTTTACTACTACCTATAGATATCTATACATCCAACCTTAACTACATCCTCCATATAAATTCGCTCCTCACGTCCAGCCTCCTATCTACACAAGGTACAGTCACATCGCCATCGTCAAAAGCGACGTCATTCTACCCCCTCCTTCGAGCAAGATCTTATCACTATGCGACTTACTGCTCGGCATTGACAGTTTACCAGAAGTGCTACTATGAAGAATTATAGGCAAGATAATCAGTCGAGCTCTGTAACTCAGTGCTCTCTGGTCATGTCATAGACTCTTTTATTTTTTCGAAAACGCAACGAAAACGCCTGAGAGATCATCAGTCGCGAGTGTGACTGAACAAGACGAGGACTGCGTGGAATTCCCCCCAAAGGCGATACACCTGACGCCTTAATACTCGTCTCTCGATAGTCAGCCCGTAGAGCATGCTTTAGCAAATACAGCAAGCAGCAGCGCCATCTCCACACCTTGGTCCTTGTTCCAGAAACGAGATGAGAGGGTCTGCTGCATAGCGAGCCCATACAAGGCTTCACATCTTGCTGCGTTACTAGATCCAATCGGAGCGCCGACCATACGCAGGGCTGTTGCTAGAATGATGAACACTTGAAATTTCGCCGCGTCCAGAGAACAAGAAGGAACACTGGAAAGGATTTTCGTTGCTTCTAGTGTCATGGCCGAGCTGAAATCGGGGAGTGAATAGACCGCTTCGAGGCAGATCTGAAGGCCATCTCGATTTATTGGCGCCTGCATGGGTGCAAACTTGGCGAAGAATATCTCGGTCAGCTGTTGTGCCTCCGGCTTAGACAAGGCTACATGACGGTATGGCTCGTGGGATCCAGTATCTCTAGATGGCATCTGCGGTGGAGAATGATGCAGCTGTGTGAACGTCCCAGTACTTTGCCCATACAGCTGGCTATTGTCGAAGAAGTCGGGGAAAGCCAGATTCATCGCACTCAGATCTTGGTCAAGCCCCAATGACGAGATCGAAGATCTCCGGGACATGCCCTCTTCTACAATTCCTAGAGATGGACTCAGAAATGACGAGAAGTCGTCCATCCCAGCAAAATCCCAGGTGTTGACCCTACCTTGAGGCGAGACAGGTGGTGATATTGAGACCGCAGGGTTCGGTGCGACCAAGTGAGCAGGATGAGAAGCAGGCGTTGTCGCTGTGTAAGCATCTGGAGTAGATGTCCTGGATATCCCAGACGCTGAGAGCATAGATGGCGATGGAGATAATGGCCTAGGAAACGGCGACTCGCACCCAGTGATCTCGATCATGGGGATGTCAGTCGGCGTCAAATGCCCCAGAAAGGGGTTTCCAAGCTGGTCGTCGTACGAGAACGAACGCTGCGGATGGCTCATATCAGTGTCCAGTCGAAGACCTAAATGAGGCATGGACATATCGTCGTCTTCCCCTTGCCAGTCGCTGAAGAGATCCTCCGTATCATTCAAATTCGATTGCATTCTTGTCTCGGCGAGCTGAGTCTCAAGACGACGTACTCGATCTTCCAAGGCAGCTTGCTGCTCCCTGTGTTCTATAAACGAGTGATCTCTGGGCGCATGCAGCATCCTGTTCACTTACGGTCCAAATCTCTCTCTGTGCTTGCTAGGACGAACACAATTGACCATGAAGCGCGCGCAAGTTGCGCACGGCTGATTACCATCACCTACCAGCCAATCAAAATCCATAGAGTGCAAAGTCTCGCAATAGACTCACATCGGATCTTCCTTCTTCTGCAACGTTCGCAAGCGGTGGTGATAGACTTCCTCCTTGTGCGTCCAGCAACAGCCGGAATCGGTGAGAGTTCGCTGGTGGTCGAGGACGACTCCCCTATCGTGGCACGACGAACAGGCCACTCTACATCATCTTTGTGGACTGAATCTGTCGACATGGCCGTGCTTTTCGTCGATCTCGCTTTGCGACCCTTGACCACGCGAGGTCTTACGTAGGCAGACCACTTCCAGCAAATAATATATCGGCTGTCTATGGACCTTCGCAACCTCGCGATAACGATAAAGGCTGTGCGGAACCCCAAGCGCTTCGCGTATCACAAGGTCTTGAGTTCATAGAGAACTTCAATGTTTCGACGGCAGAGAATCTCAAAAACGGACACTGCGGAGTAACTTGGGCACTCGTAGACGAAGTTGTGACTCTGCGGTACACACGTATGTTGTATGTTTAACGGTCTCTCGGAAACCTGTCGCCTTCTCGAATCAATTGATGTCCGTTCGTCTGGCTCGAGAAGATGAGCTTCGGCTAGAAAATGCTTCCTTCGCAGAGGCAGACAATAATCAGTTCTCAGACGTCCAACAACGAGAGATTGCGCTCTCCCACGTAATGCTTCCATCCAAAGAGTTTTGCATACTTCTCACGCCAGCTCAAGCCAGGCAGGAATCCAGAAGTCTGCTGGTTCTGGGTCAAATACAACGCCAAGTGCACTGCCTCAGACTAAAACTCCATCTTGGCCAATCAGAAACGAGCTATCCGCGGCCTTCTTTGCGCGCCTCCTTTGTTAAGCTCACAGGACACTGGGGATTCCTTCGCATGGCTTGAGTCAAGTCTATCCTCAGTATAGACTTGTCTCATCGGCCGTCAGTCATATGCTTGAAAATCTTCGAATGGACGGTTGCACGCTCAACTCACGATGCTTGGCATTGCCCCTTAGCGAAACTACTCGGGACCATGTCAGGAATGTGCCGCGCCCGGAGATGCACCCCACAGTCGACCTGCATTCTAGACTCTTACACAGAAGCCATGAATCATGCCTTAACCTGTTCGACTCACGCGAACAGCCTAAAGGTGTTCTCAAAAATCAACAAATTTTGGTAAAAGCTCTAAACCCGCTGTCAGCCTAATGTCTGCCCCGGGACGAATGCTGCCAACGATGAGGGCGTAGATTGCTTGTGGCCAACTGCTGAATTCATCCTCAATATTATCGTCCAACGCGGAGTCTTGATACGTTACACGTAGCTACTCCCTAGAATATTTTTAAAGACACACCTTACCTGACGTATAAGTGCTCAACCAGCAATGATTCAGTGCTGCACATTAGAACGCGAAGACTTATCTGCCAGTTGGGACATCTCATTAAGGCAAGTAGAAACCCTGAGCTGCGTGGGGATGTGCTCCGTGGATACGAATGACGTCATAGACTCAACCAAGGTAATCACACTTGGATTGTGTTCAGATCTGTAATGTCTAATTTAGTATACGAAGCTTCTGACTCTTATCAACTCTATCGTTGCTTATTACATGTAAAGTATCAACGATTCTGAGTGATGACCACTACTTAAAACACCCTAAGAACACATACACAGACGTGCCATGATTGTCTCTATGAACGATCCTAATGCAACTTCGCATGACGAAATGGGGAGGGGGTGCTTGTTCTATAGCTTTGATGCTTTCGTTTTGGCATTACTTCCGTGAGCTGGAGCAACATAGCCTGAAGTAATGATAGCCATAGTATGAGCCAGCCAATGATGCTATCAGTACGAGCTTTCGGTCAATATTTCAAGTATCGAGTGAAGCTCAATTTCGGTGAGCCTACATTCACGAACGTGACAAAACTGTCTACGAACAAAATAAACATGTGCAAGTAAAGGATGCTGTAGGAAGCTTTGTTCTAATACTTCAAGTACTATGGAAACCAATGACGTCTTGATGCGGGATGATCGAATGACGCCATATCTAAATTTATGCAATTTTGTAGGTGCCGTCATTCTGATGAATTTAATGGCTTTTCGGAGCACTTCTTCGGATTGTATGCGAGCATTTTTTCATTCATAACCGAAAAAGATGGAAAACTGTATAGAAGCCCCTATAGATGATGTGATAAAATGGACCGCACTGTTTCAAATGTAAGTTGTATATGTACAGAATGCTGAATGATGGGCATAACTAACTTCAATCAAAAATCAGCTTCCAGGAATTCCAGATCCAATGGCCTTCAGACGCTCTGAAGATGACAATGCAAATCGTCACCAACATGCCGGACAGCATCTTGACGATATCAGCCATGCTCACGAGAGTGCTGTGCGTGCACATCGACAGTCGCATATGATGGTTAACGATCCATATACTCTCCCACCCAACGGCCATTCACCTCCTCCCAAACGTATCGCGCAGAAAAGATCCTTACTCCGAAACCGCATTGGTAACTTCAAATGGAACTGGTTTGCGTGTACGATGTCAACTGGCGGTCTTGCAATCGCCATATCTGAATCACCCAAGGTCTTCAGCGGCATGAAGACAATCGGGAAGATTTTTATGATCCTCGACATTGTGCTATTCATAACCTTCACCTGCTGTATCAGTACCCGCTTCATACTCGAACCAAAAGCTTTCAAGCGCTCCCTTTCGGATCCAACGGAAGCCTGGTTTTTTGGCTGCTGGTTCCTTTCGCAAGCGACCATCATCGGTAACATTGAACAATATGGCATACCTGCTTCAGGTCCGTGGCTAGTCAAGGCACAAGAGATCCTCCTCTGGTGCTATGTCGCTTTCACGATCCCTCTTGGCATCGGTCTGTTCGCATACCACTTCGCAACGAACAAGATCACGCTGGATAAGATCCAGCCAAGCATGGCGTTGGGAATCTATCCGACTATGCTCGCCGGTACACTCGCATCTCTGATTGCATTAAAACAGCCGCCTAGTTCGGCACTCCCGATCATCATCGGTGGCATCGCTTTCCAGGGGCTGGGGTTCATGATCTCGTACTTGATCTTCGCGATCTTCATATATCGTTGCTTTGCAATCGGGCTACCAGCGCCACAGACGCGTGTTGGCATGTTCATCATGGTCGGTTCACCCGGCTATACGGCGGCGGCGCTACAGGGACTGGGAAACGCGGCGGCCATGAAGTTTCCAGTTGGGTACATGGGGACGATGATATCTGCGGGTGAGGTTCTGAAAGTAGTGGCGACAGCAGTAAACGCGTGGCTTTGGCTATTGTCTTTGACATTCTTTGGCTGGTCGGTTGTAGGGGTTGGCTTTGGGCTGAAGGAGATGCGATTCGATGTGACATGGTGGGCGGTCGTGTTTCCAAATGTTGGATGGACGATCGCGACAGCCTTGCTAGGGAAATCACTAGATAGTCAAGGTATTCAATGGGTTAGTTGTGGGATGATTGTTATACTGGTCGTGTGCTGGATTATCGTTGCGTATTCTAATGTCAAAGCGATAGCAGGAGGACAGTGTCCTCCGCCCTAAATGATGATAGTTAACAAATGCATCAAGCACGTAAAAAGTTATGAAGATTGAATGAACATCTGTGGTAGTAGTAGTAATAAATAACTCTATATGGTATCTGTGCTTTGTCTAATAGGTAGAATGTCGTCGCTGAGCCCAAAACTACTGCCTGGGATGAACAAAGCAAGTAAGGAAAAATGTAAAAAGAGTATGAAAAGATTATTCCATCGCCGGGAATTGAACCCGGGTCCTGTCGGGGCTCTTTCAACTGAAAGCGACAAATGATAGCCATTACACCACGATGGATTGATGGAAGAGCGATACTTTGATTCAAATATATTCTATGCAATTGCACTACCTATCTCAGTGCTAAAGTGTCGGTCTTCGGACTTTGTTGTGGTGCGGGTTCAAGCTAAGTATGGATGTTATTTTAGCGGCCACCTTTCGAGCATTTTCCGCGCCGGCACGCACAGCACAGGCTCACGGCTTTTGTCTTCAGGTAGGTTGTGAGTGTCATGTCGCCGACACTCAAACGAACAGGTGGGCAAAACAGAACCACTACCCTAGCCAACTTGACCGCTCATCGTCACTACTTGTAGATCCTGTCTGTGGAACATGTCGCCGCAAGAGTCGAAGATGCGACCGAGGGAAGCCTTCCTGCCAGCGATGTATATCCAAAGGACTACTCTGCGAGGGCTATGAGACGAAGTTCAAGGTATACGACGTCGCAAAAGGGCCGAAGAAAAGACGGGTAGCCGAACAGAGCAAGGTGAACACGGTGGGCAAGGCCAAAGAGCGGCTGTGGTCGCTCAAAAGGTCGTCGTCGCTATATAGGCCGCCGGGAAGAGACAGAAGTGTACTAAGCCAGACTTCAGAGAGTTGGAGCTCCTCGAATGGATCAATTGGTAGCGATATTCTGGATCGCTCACCAGGCTTGGATGAACTCCTGGCAATGGATGCTGCACTGTATGTACACCGCCGCAGTCTACTCCTTCTTGAAAAGGACGTGACGTGGAGGTAGTTGATATCATCTTATGCGAAGCCCTGGTTGTCGTACGAGATCCTAGGCTGAATCCCTTTCGTCGATATGTCCTCCCGCTCGCACATCAAGATGCCAGCTTGTTGCACGCCATCCTTGGCCTTTCTGCGTGTCACATACCGGCTTCAGAGTTCCTTGAACAGTCTACCACGGCGATATCGCACAACTATTTGCATTACGGTCTATCAGCTCATTTCTCCTGAAAGAGGAGTTTTTAGGGCTAATCGAGACGGAGGAAGATTTGACGCTTTCTATAATACTGTTACTACTACTGCAGGATATATGTGAGACCGGAACGTCGTCCCACGGTACGCATCTGAACGGTGTTGCATTCTTGTGCTCGCGAATTGCATCTCGTAAATCAGCGCAGAATCAACTTCGCAACTTTCTCGTTTCATCGCTAGCATGGTAAGTCAGTGTCGCACTGTAATAAAGTCTATACTTAGTTCATGTGTGTACAGGTTTGACATGCTCCGTGGAACGAGCGGTCCAGAAAAGATGGCTTTTCCAATCTCTGTCAGAGACTACGTATCTTGACTCGAAGATAATAGCCTTCAAATCATGATCGGATGTCCCACTGAAATCTTCCTTGTCCACAGCGAAGTACTTTGTGGCGGAAAGGCGTGGTTGGCGGGTCAGCTCCACCCTGTAGCATTCCAAAGACGTCTGGAAGCACTGGAGCAGCAATTACGAGACTTTGATGTCACCACGGCGGACTACCCATCAGATGATCCCAGCTGGGCTTCGCTTGCAGAAGCCTTCCGACACGCAACGCTACTGCGGATCGCAAGGTTCCCAAATTCATTTTCGATACCATGCGACGCAGATTTGATCAAGAGCTCCGTGAGCGCAATTCTAGACACAGCAGCCTCAATACCTGTGGACTCCGCAATCTACAAACGTCTAGTCTTCCCTCTATTCATGGCGGCAGTGGAGACGTCGTCGAAGCATCAGCTACATTATGCTAGAATTTGTCTGGAGAATTGTAGGAAGGCAACGGAGATCAAGCAGCCGGCCATGTGCAACATTCTGGACAAGGTATGGGACGTTCGACAGATTACGGATGGTAAACGTAACGTGCCATGGATGGAATACACGTGCTCTGCGCGTCTGCAAAGGCAACATGATTATCTCTGTCTCTGACAGGAGGTCGTAGTCGCGTAGTTTGACGCATGTTCACATGAACAAATCGTTCGACACCCACAACAGGAACAGGGAGGGTTTGTGCGAGTGGAGTAGACGGCGGATTGGGCTTCAACGTTCACCAGAGATTTGATTTTGAACTGCCATGCCGTGGGCTACCTCATTCAAGCCGTACAGTGAAAATGGAAGCCCAGGCCATGTAGCGCTTGCTTTGTCATTACTGAGGTTTGACGCCAAGACAGTATACAGAGTGTTCTTGGTAGAGCAGGAAAGCGCGCCAAAATGATGCGCAGTGATATGATGATATGACAGTATACTATCATACGTCCGATGAAATTCTATTGGGGGACCGTTAGGAAGAGCAGGAGAGGAAATTGAGGAGGGGCGCTGATGAAGCGTGGTGAAGACTTGTCCTGCGAGTGTTCGACATCTGCCCCTTTACGCAGCAACAGGCGGCGCGGCATCCTTGAAGTGATGGGAGGAGATTAGATATGATGATGGTGTGCACGCTACTACAACGACTACTAACACTACGATTACCACTACCACGGGTGGTGGCGGATGGGAAATGAGCATGAACGTTTGAGGCTTCCAAATCACAGATTCCACGCGCTGCTCGTCTAGGGTGGAGACAAGTAGCAGGAGAGCACATTACAGAGTGAAGGCTTGAGTCATTCGCCTCGAAGCCTTGAGGTAGCACAGCGCATCCATCCATGCATAATACACGATAATACATCATAGGCGTAGACGAGCACGGCCTAGAAAGCTTCAAAGCAAGCATACATCACATGCAGGCACGTTGCATTGCATCACCACTAGAACTTGATTCAGACTGGAGTGGCCAAACTTGCCCAGAAGGTGAAGTTCTCAAAGTTCAGGCTCAGGCACGGGAAGCAAAGGTACCGGAAGATCTGTGCCATGTATAAGTCTCCAGACGCTCAAACGCCCCTCCAGCTGCCCAGATGTGCCGCCGGCGGCGGGAATGACGGGGGTGGGGGTTGCCCTGTGCCTGGCCTGGCTACCTTTTAGCCTTTTGGCCTTTTAGCCCTTCACTATAGGTATCATAACCATAACTCACCTGGCAGCTAGGTGGCCATCATTCGCCCAAAAGAAAATATCCCAGACCTCCCCACCAATGGCACTCTACTCCTGCCACCCACTACGGCTATCTGATCTTCCGGCTGTTTTACCATTACAGTACCATGACCATGCACACACCAACACCACCCCAATCATGGCCGACGAAGCTACGCGGGCCGTCCAGCAAACAATCTTCCTTTCTTCCTTCATCACAACATGGTATGGCCATGCCTATGATAGCCAGCCTGTGTATGTGTCAACAGTCATGTTCAAGTCACAAACTCTTTTGACACGCTTACCCAGCTCCCATGTCGGATGAGAGATCATATATTGTACCACTTTCACTCGAGCAATGACAAAGAACGCAGAATCGAGCACCCGGTAAGCCTGGGAGATGAACCGCCGACTCTTGCTAGCATCAAGGCCAGGCACCTGAGAGAGATTGTTGTGTCGTGGTTTGCAATTTGCATCACCGCAACCAAGATATCCGTCGGCTGGACTACAATCCGGGGTCTGGCACGAAAGCCTCGCCAACCACTGTCCATAATAGGTCATGCTAGTCGTAGTGCTAGTCATGGAGAGGAATCGTGTTGCATGCATGACACCAGTATTAGTGAGTAGTGAGGAGCGGCCAGGCAGTCTGAGGCTATTGACTCCAGCCCGAAGCGGCATAGCCACTCGGACGAGGCCCATACCGAAGAGACAACAGAGTAACAACACTCCATCCAACAATCCTCATCTCAACCTCCAGCTTGACTGGCCCGTTCCGCTAGCCGTAATGGTCGAATAGCCCTACCTTCACTATATCATGCTTCTTCCACCCTGCCTGTTCTGTTCCACGGTTGTCCTCAGTTCAATTTCTCCAATACAACTGTCGTTTGCATAGCACTCACTCTCGCTACCTCATACATCATCAACTTCCGATATCTCTCAAGATGCAATTCTCCGCAATCTTCGCTACCGTTCTGGCTGCGTCCGTCGCTACGGTCAGCGCTCAATCGTACGTCGACTATTTATGGAACGACTTATCTATCACTGACAAAACACAGCTCTGAGCCTGTCGTCACGCTCACTCCTTGCCCACCTGGTGCTACTCCCACCGGTGGCAACGGTGGTGTTCCAACTCCCCCTCCGTTCACTGGTGCTGCCAACTCTCTCCCATTCCCTACCGCCGCTGCTGTCGCTGTCATGGGTGTCGCCGCCTACTTTGCATAGATGACACAACCGTTTTCCGAACAGGACACTCCACCGCTGCCAGGATTACCATTGGAAAGTTGGGACTGGATTTCTGAGGACTCTAAAGGTTCTCGTGGATTGACATTCACTCGTGGCGCTTTGTGCTGCATCACGATTGCATTGTTCGGCGCGTCCGGCGTCATATAAGATACCTCTGCGTCAGCCATGGACTGCTCACTAACGCAATCAATATTAATGCGGTCTGATGCAAAACATTACTATAATATCCAACAAATAAACTAATGTATATTTGACCCTGCCCTTTTGCTATTTGTTCTGCTCTTGTTACTTGCCTTTGGTACATCTGCATTTTTATGTGATTACCGTATTGAAGGGAACAACCTCTCTAACGAATGTACTTTTCGTGATGTATCTAGGACAGTCCTTTTGGACATACATACTGACCTAGGATAGATCGGTCCCACAAGAACGATAATACAGTGACTCCTGCCTCCCAAATCACGCGTCTCTGTGTCAAACCACGCGACGCTCAAATAACCAAAACAACCGATTCCTTCCGCTGCTGTCCGAAATCTACGCACAGCCATCCTTTATTTTCCTCGAAAATCCGCTTCGCATTATGGTTTTCTTCTTTACAACAACATTGATCCTATCACATAACAAAAAGTCCTCTTACTCGATAAAACATACATACGCATCACTTCAGCGCATCAACATCGAAGCATCAACACAGAAGAACACTTCAAGCTCAGATCCTACACTCAAAAATCTCTCAACAATGTTACCCGTCGCCGTCCTCTTCCTCCTCACTGGCGTCGCTTTCGCCGCACCAACTCACATCAAATCTACCTCCACCTCAGCTACAAATGGTGGTGTCGTGCCTCCTTTCCTAACGAATCCGCCTCAAGCTCCTTCGTACGTCGGCCTGTCAGTGGAGAACGAGGCGGCTAGGATCGAGTCGGAGGAGGACTGGGGGATGCCAAGGGGACAATAGGGATCGGGCGTGACCCAACGAATCGAACATGGATGGACAGTGGAAGGGTGCGAGAACTGGGGGAGGCCCATTGCAAGGGGGGCTGAGCGGAAGAGCGTTGGACGACACAAGGCCTCATCACTTCTCCCAAAGTTATATACCAATCCGTCTAGTTAAACAAAATTTATCCTAAGATCAACATTCTTCATAGCGAACACCCATACATACCTAGGCGAAATGAGTCATATTTTACCCCTGTATGATTCGGTATCTGTCTCTGTGTATTAATGCAGTGTTCTAAAAATTCCAAAATGGACATGGATGTCTTACGTAATTTTTACTCGTATGCTTATCCATAAAGCTCCGGTCCCTGAATTCTATACAACTTTACGACCCAGACAACAGGAATATAGATGACCAAAGGGCAACGAGTCAATGAGAGGAAGCAGCTCAACGCCCATCAAGGCGTTTTTTTTGAGTCTTACCTACAGAACAGTATCGAACTTGAGACGAGCCTTCGATATGTAGAAGGTGGTCTGTATGTAAACAAAGGACAAAGCTTTTCAAGTGTAAGGGCTCTGTATCTGAAGCCTCGAAGTTGATGCGGTCATTGTAACATATGGGTTGTGCTGAACAGATCATTAGTTTCTTTGAAGTATGTTACCCAGGTACCGAGATGCCACTTCTGCAATAGGACAATGTTGAAGTTATTGTAAGCTAACAACAGTGCTCTCGAGTTGGCCTTAGGCAAACAGTGGCGGGTCCTAGAGTCACGTGAGGCTCTAGTGCGCACGGACCATCAGATCTTGGTTTAGTCTTCAACCACATCGAACAACCCAAACAAAGCTGTAAACACGACCAATTCGACTCACACCGACACCACCACCATTGCATAACTACTCTATCAATCAAAGTCATGCGTCGGTAGCCACGTACCTTCTTGGTTGGTACGCGTTTCGCTCATATTCCCTCCTGCATTGTCGCCTGCGTACAATTCGTCGCAATGGCCGCGTCGAGGACAAAAGCACCTCAAGTTGGGTCTGCCCAATGGCTCATCAGCGAGACACGACAAGCGGAGGAGTTTCTGGAGCAAGAAGTCGAAGAATTCAGTTTCTCGGTTCGCAATGAGATTGAATGGCTGAACGAACACATGTCGGACGTGTTCTCTAGAGACCATACGTAGGTGCAACACGCGTCTCATTAACCATGTAGAGCTGACAACGTCATAGAAACTTTGCAGAGATGCTCAAAACCCCTGGGAGACTACGGGGAAAGACGCCACGTACGGTGAGGAAACTTAATGCTGAGACGCGTGCAGTAAGTCGATGAAATGACAGTATAGACACAAAAACGTACTGACTTGTATAGCCACTGGCAGACGTTTTTGCACCAAACCCTCAGTCCACTCCAAGTCCTTCAAAATCATCCCACTTCTATAGCAAAATAGCCAAATTTCAAGTCGCAGGAGACGTTGATCCCGCCAATGCTGCCACGCCTAAAGCTACACCGAGCTCCAAAATACTGGCACGTCTTGGCCAAGAAAACGATGGCTCGTCATATAAGCTGGCCAAGACCACCGACGAAATGGACATCGATGTTATGCCTACCGCCGTACGCCTCTCCCCTGCGAAGAAAGTGATAATCCAGAAGTCACCACTACTTTCACCGGTCCAAGCTGTTGCCACCGAAAGTGGAGCCTCAACAGATGCATCTTTTGTTTCTGCCAAGGAGCGTAAAAGCGCCTCTATCGAAGCACAAGGCAAACAGGTCGATGTTATTACGGCCGTGAATGACGATGATGTCATGGACCTTGTGGAGAGTATAACCGCACTGCAGCAGCCGAATGAAGATGGACGATCCGGCTCAGACCAGTTTAATGTCTCTCATACCACAGCATCTGCACTAAACTCGGTAATTCATCACACGGACGAGACCCAGGTCGCTCAGAGTAAAGTTGAGCCCGAGGGAGTCCGGTCACCTTCTGATGGGTCCAGTCCTGTAAAGCAAATTGTTCGCAAAAGCAGTCTCACATTCGCGTCGCTTCCCGCCCGCGAACCACTTGCCAAGAAGAGTGTTGGTGCACGCACTAGTGGCCCTCAACGACAAAGTCATTACACCCGTTTCACTGGAGGGAAAAGCCTCGGAGGGTCGCAATCTCAGTCTACTGCCACCACAGCAACTTCACAATTCTCTACTCAAGAAGACGCCATGGACTGGGAAGAGACGCAACCTACATCTCAGGAGTCACAAGCTGCAGAGGCTACCAAGTTACACAACAAGACTTCCACTCAACGTCTGCATGATCGCATAAACATGCTCGGTCAAGCCAAAGATAGGACGTCCAAGGTCATACCAAACACCAATGCATCAATACAGCCACAGTACCCCCAATTGCCAAGTCTCGATCTTGATAAGCCGACCAATGATGGCACTACAGCATTTTCACCGAACGCAGCCTTAGAAGCTGATGAGGATGAAGGAGATCGGATTGCGCCAATCTCCGGGTCCAGTTTCCCTCTCCCACCAACTCGGCCAGATCTTTTCAAGAGTCATTCTGCGGAAGTCATGCAACAAATCAGTGGCCGGTCCAGTATCGGGCGCTTTGAACAACCTCAATCGCCTACGACCACTGGTTCGCCTTTAAGACCAACGTTGGGACACAGCAAGTCCGCGTCAGCATCAGCCATTCCGTCGCTTATCAGACTGAACACCGCTGTACAAGGTCATAAGAAAGTCGCGTCCGACTCTGATTCAGCCATGTCTACGGTTCTCGAAACCACGACTCCGTCTGGATCACCAATTGGTAAAAAATACGCAGATGGACCTCTCAGCGCCTCTAAAGCCAAATTTTTCTCCGTTCTAAAATCAGCAAAAGACAGAATCATAGCTAGCGCGGGTATCAGTGCACAGGCCAAGCTAGAAGCCCTTTCCCCTTCTCATCGCGATAAACAAATATCCCACATGCCTTCGCTAGATCAAATTTTCAGTCCCAAGAGGCCTGAGCGTGCTCCGAGCCCAGCCAGGCCTGTTAGTCCTGTAAAAGCTGATGAAGGCCGGCGTACTCGCAGCTCAACAGAAAAACAAAGAGAAAAGGCTGCTAAAGATAACCAACGTCACGAAGATAACCTCGAGAAAGCAAGAGCTAAGGTTCGCGATGAGATTGCGGTGCATTCACAACAGACCAAGCAAAAGGCCGTCGAACCAAATGTGGAAAGTATGCCAGATAACGCCTCTATCAAAGAAGTCGCAGACACGGCGCTTTCGGCTCCTCCAAAGAGCCAGCTTCCCACGGCACTTCCTCAGAAACAGAAAGATTCGCGCAGGCTGGTCAAGCCTACAAAGGAGGCTCAGTCCAAACAACCGGTCGTTGTCAAAGTGGCCATGAATCGTCAGTTCCCTCAGCATCAGGCTAGCAACGCCGCTCTAGCATCCTCTTTCCAGGAAAATCCAGCCACGTCTAAGCAGCCTCAAACCGGAGCCAAGGCGGGCAATGATAGTGTCAAACCACCGCCACCTGCTACTTCCGCTCGACAAAAGGCGATGGACATTGCCGCGAAAAAGAAGGACCAGGCTGCACAGCGTAGAGCCGACCAGAAACGCGAGGTCGAACAGAAGAAGTTAAAACAAGAAGAAGAGCGCAGAACGGAGCAACAGCGCAGAGCTGCCGAACAGCGAGCTCTGGATGCCAAAAGAGCTACCCAAAAGCAAAACATGGAGGCTAGGACCCGGCCACAAGCTAATCGTCCACCCAATCGCCAGGTGAATAATCTCGCGTCAGCACTTCAGCAAGAGAAGGCAGCTCACGGAGGCACACATCAAAGAGGCGACCTTGGCACCACCAGGCCGGTGTCCCGCATGAACACTGTACCAATTCCTCCGATCAATCCGGCTAAGCCACCAAAGCGGATATTTCAACCAGATGACGACGAACCCATCATACGCCCACAAATCCAGAGAGCTCCTCCATCGTTCCAGCAGACAGAGAGCAAGCGCCGAAAGACTGGGGACATGGAGGAAGAAACTGCCGAATTGGGTCGTTCAGTCATGAAGCCACCGATTCGACAATCAAACATGCGCAAGGAACAACAGAACAAATTTCCTCAGGGATACATGCCAGCTCAGACACCAGCCTCGCATGCCCTTTTGAAGCATGCAACTTCGGCACAGCACCAAAAGTCCAATCACCCTCACGAGCTCGCCAAGTTTTCGAATGCGAAAATTCCCTTCGCAGAAAACCCGAATCCTGCCGGGCCCTCTAACTCGCAATATGGGCAACAGTCTGCATTCAAGACACCCGTGCGCCAGAACGGTCCACACAACTACCAGAATACCGCTAAATCTGCGAAGTCGTCTCCTGCTTACCCCAACAGCGAAGCCATCAGTCTTCCTGACATTCCCACTGATTCCGAGGATGAAGATTCTGAAAATGGCTTCGAACAACCTTCTTGGGCAGATTCGCCGGCACTCCGAGAATTACTTATTGCACAGCAACTCATCGACCCCGAGACAATCTTCGGACCTATCCCACCATTGCAGATGGAGGAGATTTTCAAAAACAAAGACCGCCATAAGCGTTTCCGCGAAAGAACCAGCAGCGCTAATTGGAGCGGTGGTGATCGTCTGACTGAAGAGGAAAAGCAACGCGACCGTGAGGCAAGACGGAGATTGATGAGGGATGGAGCATGGAGTTTTAATACAACTGGTGAACACTGAGATGGAGCATGATTGTTATGCTCCATGCTGACATCCACAAAGCAGAGTATAGATGAACAGTCTGCGAGTTTGTATGTTTGGTTCGAAACGACTTTGTCATGGCGCGCGTTTTTTACTGTGGTTTTCTTTTTCAGTACTTTGCATGAACTGGACGTTCAGGGGTACACTTGGCGCTTTGGAGTACAATGATTATTGGGATTGGGATTTGTACATCGCGCTTTCTTTGCGATTCAGCGCGCATAACACACATGATTGCGTAGTGTGCTAGTATTGGCATTGCAATACATCTCATCATGACCACTTCACAACGAATTGATGGTGGTCGGGACTTCATTATGATGTGCTACAATTGTGATTACACATCAAACAGTACTTTACAATTTCCACTGAAGAGCTTCTCGGCTAACCTTTCATCTCCTGCACACCACTCTAGACACCGCTCCACGAACGGCACAACATCATATCCGTCAAAGCGCGTATGCGGCCAATCGGTAGCAAACACCACGCGCTCCGGAGCCTGCTTCATCACCTCCTTCGCCATGGCCTGCGTCCACGGCATCGCCGCATCCTTCTCGATGCGATATGCAGCGCTACACTTCGTCCACGTCTGCCCGGCCTTCAAAAGCCTCACAAGCGCTGCAAAACCTGGCAACGCGTACGGATCTGGCATGGTCCCTTGCACCAGACTCCCGGCAGGCAACGTCGGATGCCCCAAGTGATCAATGCAAAACTTGATACCACGCAGCGCCTCTGTCGAAGCTATGATGCGCTCCAGCACGGGCATGTTCTCCATACCAATGTACAGCTGCACAACCCATCCATACCCGCGCACCACATCGGCATTCCGCACAAGCGTGTCACGCAGCCCGCCCTCGTCGATCGCCGCACCAACAGACTTGAAGTTCAACCGCACGCCGCGCACGCCGATCCGGTGCCACTCGTCGAGTTCCGCGGCCGTGATGGTGGCCGGGTCGAGTTGCACGACTGCGCGGCCGCGCGCGGGGCCGATGGCGCGCAGGGCGTCGAGCGTGCAGCTGTTGTCGGTCCCGTAGATTGACGGCTGCACGATGACGATGTTGTGGATGTTGAGCGAAGACTCGAATGAGAGGGCGTCTGGGAGGAGGTGTGCGTGCGGTTTGTAGGCGGCTGTGGCGGATAGGGGGTAGTTGTATGGGTCGACGATGTGCATGTGCGAGTCCCAGGTTTCGCGGGGGATGCGGCTTGCGAGAGTGGAGCTCATGGTGCGGAAGGATAGGGTTGCAGGCTTTTGGAGATTGAGATGGGGTTTGTTGTTTGATGATGATGCGAATCTGATGGGTTTGGAGGTGAACCTGAATGGTCTTCTTCCAAGCACGCGACTCATTGGGTAGTTGTATTGAGTTGCAAATGCTTTGACGGCGGTACGTTCACAACTCTTTCTTGGATTCTAGATTATTCCCGGAGGTCTCTCCTTCACTGAATGTATAAAGATTGATGTCCATGAAGAGAAAGTATTATGTATATGACCATCGGAGCGATGCCGGCTGAAGTCTTGGCAGGCCGGCTACGGCCGCGGACTTTCACCGAGAGTTTGTTCCCTCAGGATCCCCAGGATCCATCACAAACCATACACTGCTAACTGAAGTCGTATGGTGATCGGCTTGTGTCTTACCAAGGTATTGGACAATGCCCGTGATTGTGCACTTATGATTGGAAGCAAATACCTTTTTTTCGTGGTCCCTGTTGTCGCATGCGGCGGTATTCCAACATTCTAGATTAATTACTTCCGCAAATGCTTGAGGCCAAATTGACCATAGATCAGAACCGCAATTGACATAGACTTGGCGCGAGCGTCGGTATAGAATCCTTCCAGCAAGACTTCAACATGGTCTCTGCGGCCTGGACGAACGACTCGAACTGACAGGCAAATTGAAAAGCCAACATCACTTCGTTTCGGAGTGCTCGGTACTATTCGAAGGACCGTGGTATTATTGTTTGAAGGCAAGAATGATGCTCGTGCCGTACATGAATGCAGACAGGACGAATAGAAGAAGATTATTTCGGTCTGATTGAAGCAAAGATAGGAGTGAAGATGCGTCTTCTATGACAGCCTAATTTGTAAGTCGTCGCGAATCTCTCATGTCAGCATGCATGCTTTCCTTGTCCAGGGACTCAGGATATATGAGATGCATTGTCTGCTTTTTCTTTGGATTTCCTTCGACCCCCATGCGCCATCAATGTCTTTCGTTCTTGACGTATCCTTTTCCCGAAGGCTTTATGAGTTGGCAATTGGTTAATTTCTGCTTTGTTATACCTGATCCTACAAAGCCTTTCCAAACGTTCTTACATGCCGATATGAACAGCACGCTGTTTATTGGAAATGACTTTCTTCGATTCAAAGACAAAGGCTGCTTTCGCATTTCAAGCTGATGACCCTTGGTATGGAAGTGCGCATTTGCAATGCGCTGGAAAGTTATATAAAGATATGTGCTCCTATGCATCGATCAGGACTTCTCAACTCCCAAAAGCTTCTTATTCCACAGCACACCTTCAGCGGGTTTAAAATATCTCTTGAGCCTAGACTCATACCGCGACTCCCACAAACCCGGCGGCTCCATCGTACTTTAGCGACACCGCCCCCAGATACCACGCCCTCACTCGTCTCACTCCCGGCAATGGTTCTCTGCGCCTTCATACAACTCACAACCGTCCTCTCGGTTCAGGTTCGTAAACTCAGCTCACGAAATTTCGTCCAAGCTCTCAGCAAACGCCCAGAATCGCATATCCTCCTCCACGCGGTCGCCAGAACGGCGTCCTTGTGTCCGCGTGACATCGCTAAAATCGGTCTCGTTCTCTTTGCATTCGGCGTTGTGTATGATTTTCTTCTGACGCAGCCGGCGTGGTTCCAGGAATGGTTTCTGTATGGGATGATTGCGGCAGGGACCGGGATTGCTGTTAAGTGGGTCGTTGAGGGTTGGTTTTAGCATTTAGGGGCAAGGTGCGACATGGATTATATACTAAGAAGGATAACAAGATCGAAAGAACTTCAGCTCTATACGATATTTATCACCGCAGAATATGAAAAGATCTCCCTGATCCCAAACCCGATATCTGAAAAACCGTTTCGAAAATCTAGTCTGGTAGTCTCTCGTCCCTGAACATGATGACGAGATCACGTAGCAGTCGGGGTAGAACAGCTTTACACGAGGCATCCTATACCAAAAACAAGGTATCAAATTGCCTTAATCCAGAGATCAACCCAACTAATAGTCATAAACGTATCTTGTGGTTCAGGAGGAACTGACTTACGTGTGGATCCCTACGTAATATGGATGGTTTCTAGTAGAGCAGAACAGAGTATCCTACACGGCTACATCCATAAACACGATTTACCATCGGGGTTTAAACGCGTTGCGCATGACCTCGTACAGAACATATCAGGTGTTTGGTAGACCGAAACACGATAATGAGCCTGCTCTGTATCCATCAATACACTCAATAATCCGAGCGTGGCTGCTTCATGCACACAACCTTGTATGCCATTTTTTTCAGTAGCCAACAGACCAAACCATCACAGTCTAGTCATCGACTCCTACCTAGGCATACAATGCACATACTAACCACTCATACCTCACGTCAGGACCTGATTTCCGTGCGACCTGAGCGGTAGAATGATCTTCACGTTATTGAGTCTACACATTTCTGCGTATTGCCGACCAATGGTAATCTCTTTCATTTCTATTCTAGGTGGCCGAAAATGCCAACATCGGCGGTCCAAACCGCGCCACATGCGCTTCCGCAATCTTCACCTCGCTGTCCCAGTCCAGCAGAATGCCCATACCCGCCTCGTCCGGGCTCCCCAGATCTACCGGCGTCGTGGGAAATCCCGGTATGTTGAACGGTCTGCATACGATGCAGACCAGGTCTCGGGCGGCGACGTGCAGGGGGCCTTCGCCCAAGGGCGGAACGACCGGGAAGGGGACAACCGGACCCGGGAAACCGATGGTGTTCACGTGGTCGTTGTAGTGCAGGACGCTTTGAACCAGCGCAACATATGGCGCCAACGTGGAGTGAAAGCACATCAGAAGTGCGTCTGTCTGTGGTGCAGTGTGTAGGATGCGAAGGGCGGATTCGGCGTGGGCTAGAATGCCCATAAGGTCGGACTTGGTATCGGGGTCGTCGATGCCGCCGTTGAGGATTTGGAAGACTGCGCCGCAGACAAGGGTTGCACAGGACGTGTACGCGGTGAATCTTGAGTGTGTGTGTTAGTGGATAAGAGAAGAGGGCTAGGAAAAGAGCATGCTTACATGCAGAGCCATGTTCGGCCATAGTAGAGAGAATTACACTGGTACAACTGCTCGAGTTTACTGACCACTTGCTGTGCGGTGAATGCGCCTTCGTGGTAGATATCCTTTGGGATCAGGCCGAAGGTTCTCTCATCGATTGGCTCGTAATCTAAGCCAAAGAGCATCAAGCGACGATATAGCAGTAACTGTCCACCAAAGAAGACTAAGTGAAGGTATAGGATGCCAGCCTCAGACTCATCAACTTCAAGTGTTCGAGCAAGGCTAAATTTAGGGCCATATGTCTTCGCCAGATGATCGTACCACTCTGCTAGGCTATTCCTATAGCTGACTACGAGGTGTGGTAGATCGGCGTATAAACACTTTTGTATATGAGTCGTGATTGCAGACAACTTGGCAACCTCAAGCTGAACAATATCGTCTACTGTGCGTCTTTGCATAATAATGGCTGGCTGCTCCTGGTGATATCAGCATTTCGGGTTTCTCTTCATATTTTCGATAGCATACCTGCTCATCTCTCAGAGGGATCTTGTCTGCGTTCGGAAGTTCTAGCGCTATCGCTAGCCAGCTGTGTGCTTGTTACTTCAATAACTGAAGCGGAATATGATCTTCTCACTTTTTAATATATAATAGTGTATTATAGGCTTTGCGAATGTCCGATCGAGTTGCGAACTCGTTGCCACGTGCCAGGCTTATGCCGAATTCTGTGTTCCAGATTTATCGTTAAAGGTGTTTAATATGCTGAGGTGATAACACTTGCCTACGAAACCCATGGCAGCCTTGCGTCTGTCGGGAACGGCGAATACAGCTAAAAGGACACTCATACGAAGTGCTGTCTCCGGCTGCTGATCTGCGAGCCCCGTAAATAGGACATTCGATACACCATACAAGTCATCCGCAATTGCTTGATACACCAGGTTTCCTGAATATCTGGCCCCAACAGCCGCAAATGCACAGATCTCCCCAAGAAGATGAGGCTCAGTGAGCCCGTCCACAAGTTGCGAGCAAAGGCCTTCGACGTGCTGTATTGTCGCTCCGTATCTTTCCAGAGCAGTGATGGTCCGACAAAACACCATGGCACAGTCGGTAATGGTGCGCGATTCTGGTAATGTGGCCCAGATGCTGGAACACAGGCGTACATGTCGGCCTTGTGAGACGTCGGTAGTTACATTTCTCGTGCTGACTTGTTCCAGCGAGGAACTGGTCCTTTGCGTGTGTGTATGGGAATTACTGGCGCTTAATTTGGTTGTGAGGGCTTCCAAATACGCAATCGCCTCGTTATTAGGGGTAGACAAGATGCCATTGAGGTGTTCTTCGAGACCTTGCACTTTCTCCTCCAAATCACGTCCCTTCTCCTCTAACTCCCTCACTTGCTCTCTCAGAGCTGTTGTCCTGGTCTGTCCTTGTGCTACTTCGTATACACAGGTGGCGTTCTTCGACTCGCAATTGCCACATATGGGACGAGCGCCATCGCACTATCGCCAGTAGAGTTAGTCGACAGCGAAGATGTATAGAATTGAAAGAGAAGTTGAGACACGATACTGTCAAAGGTCTCAAAATACCTTTGACTTCTTCTCGGAACAGTTTCTGCAGGCGCTGTGGGTGATATGTCCACGCCTGGCTCTAACTGCTGTATTTGACGGCGTCGTCGTTCTGGTAGTAGTGGAAGATGAAGATGCTGCAGCAGCCGACATCCCAGCGGGAAGAGGCAGGAGCGGCTTTAAAGGACGAGTCGGCGCCATTGATTATGTGGGTGGATTCGGAGTTTGGCGTAGGGTTGGCGTGGCTGGATAGAGAAAGATAGCAGCACATCATTGAGGGCGGACCTGACTCCGGAATTCGACTCCACCAATGAAATGAATGCATCTGTGCCAACAGCGCGCTCGTGCTCACGATGGAGACCTACCCTGTCTGGCGGACTGTCAAGTTCTTGAATTTCTCTTGAGATTTCGATGTCTGAGAAACGTAATTCTCAATATAACGATTTCTCAGTTTTGCCACCATGAGATCGAGTAGTCAGGCTGGACTGCCAGGGAACTTTATCGCCTGATCCTCCCTGGGCAGGTGATGGTGCTCCAGTAGCAATTGCGGGAGTATCCACGCAAATGCATCTTGCCACGCTCGTAAATCAGCCCATTGGAAGATGCTTACACCCTTGTTCAGGAGCTGCAAGCCTTGTTCGATTATCCAGATTCCCTGGAGATAAGAAAGCCTGTAGGAGAACCCACAAAGTTACACTGAATACTTAGGACGTTGTGTCTTCTCGATATCTCATACTGTCAAAGATACAACATCTTCCGGTTACCAACCAAGCCATGTATCTAAGTTTCAGGGCGCCTTGAAAGAAGCTACATCGAAGCGAAATGGGTGATCCGAATCATTTCTACGCATCAGAACGACTCTGCCATAACCATGAATGCGGCTACTCTCAGATGGACCAACGCAAACCGCGGACGTTGCTCTTGGACGATGGTCTTCGTATGCGTGTGCGTGAATCAATGTTGTGTCTACGGCTTGCCAGCACACGTTCAAGCCCAACTTTCCTCCGCCGATCACCATCAGCTTGGAAGTGTATAGCGCAGGATACAAGGTATACAGTGTACATGGATGTTGTCCAATGGTCATTAGAATGTGAAGAGCTTTGGACCCTCCGAGGACGAGTCAGGGGTTTTGCAGGGTTCGGTGGAATTCCTGCGCTCCAGTGCTTGTGACCAGCTGGAAGTATAATACCTGGTTTTCAAGTACGGTTGTATCTTTTGAAATCCTGTTGAGAGTGAATATTGCAGTGCGAGAACAATCAATAGAACGATTCATATGGAGAGCTTCCCCGTATGTTGCATCTGGACTCGAGCGGATTAATTTAGTTTTATCGCATGTATCTCATCTTAAATGAACAGCCTGACACTTGCGGCGCGAGAGAGAAGGCTGTTAGATAATGAATCTGGGTCAGACTTAATTTTGGTTCGAGTTGCATTTTCAAGCGCCACTTCAAGTCTCACTTCAAGCCTCTTATTAGATACACTTCTCGTATTGCTCTTTTGCAGCCGCATCATGGGCGACCCTCTAGGTATTTCCAGTGTTGGCGTGTATGCCAAAACCGAAGTCAGTATATTAGAATACTTTGTCGATGGAGCGATTCATCTGCTTAGACAGGTGTCAACTGGGCTATGTCGAAGCTAATTACGAATTTAGCCAAGACCAGCGATACGGACCGCTGTTTCCCCAGGAAGAAAGGCCGTGTTGCTGAAACAAAGACAACAAAGACCTGAAAGTGTGGTATATATATACATGTATATGCAATCTCGAACTTTGGAGTTTGTGGCGAGGTTCGCGTCAAGAGTACGTCAGAACGGCTCACGTGACTTACCACCTGTGAGATATTACCGTTATGTCTGATCGTCAGGCTGTGGGTCATGATGCACCTGCGGTCTGATACCAGTCAGATGAAACCCTATCATGAAAGTATGAGTTCGACTTGGGATGTACCATGTCTCACCAGGCTACCTGATGCTTCGAACAAGCTCTCTGAGCTCTCCACCCTCGACCCATTCGCCACCAGCACCCCCTGTACTCACCCCCCACCCTTCTCCAACTTCACCAACCACTCGAGCTGGCTGACCGCCGATCATCGAATTGGCGGGGACTACCATCTGCCCGGGGACAATCGTATTCGGTAATATCTTAACATTTTGATTAATGATGCTGAATGGGTGCAGTATGCAATTTTCGGAGATGTGAACGTGAGATGCGATGCTGATAGATGAAACATGCGTATTCGAACCTGACGAAGTAAGCTCCGTGTCATATCCACCATCATTGCTGGCCAGTACCTATAAAGACGTGGTCGCCGACCTTCATCGGATAGAACTGGACAATGCCTCTGCTGACTCTGCTCGGCGGACGCAAGACTGATCCCGAGCTCACCACAACACATTTTCCAACAGAGATGCTTGGGCCAACTGATGCTGGTTTCGTCGTGGTAGGTTGTTGTGCAGTTGGGTGATTCAGGCGATGAAGATCTCCACGAAGATGCACGTCAGCTTGGACGACTGTTCGGCCGGCGAGAGTAATGTTGGCTGTGCCCGAGATGCAAGTGCGACGCGACACTTTATTCAGTGAATCCTGCTGGACGGTCAGTATTATGTCGCACACGATGTGCTGTTTCTTTTCCACTTACGGTCTCAATGTATTCGCTTTTAGCCGATTTCCGGCTCGTTACCGCGGGTCGTGACATCGCGATATGAGAATATCAGGCTACGGTAGCGATGGACGGTTTCACATTGTCATCAGAATAGGCCAGCCAGGAATCAGAGCTGGGACGATGACCCTAAGCTTGCAATGAGTTTGTAGTTTGATGAAAGGGCTTGTTGGCGACGACCTCAACGTGCAGCTTACACTCGACGCGTCCGTGCTCGTCTCAGACGCTTAGGTCCCTTTTTGTCGCCTAAGGCCTGAGCAGCGCATTGAACCTTCATACTGTTTCATTCGTATTCAACTCTGTTTGGGCCTCATAGCGCCTGGAAACTTACTTCATGTTAATCAAGGTACTCAATGATGCTTTCCAACTCGCGATCCTCTAGATTTGTTGTTTTGTTAGCTTCGGCGACTTGTGATTGGCACTTCTCATGTAAATAATTTAAGTCTCCATATCGGTACGTACAATGCAGAATTAACGGAGACTTACGAGCAACTATGAAAAGACAATATATAAACTGCTATAGACGCATCTGATGTTGATTGAGAAATCTCGTCTCCAGCCTCTAAATTCGCGCAAGATTCCTTCAACATGACTGTCCCTTCAATGACACTTTTTACTTGGCCGGAAGGTCTATTCCCTAGACGTGTGACCCTGTATCTCAAAGCGAAAAACATCCCGCCACATATTCTCGATGCACATCTCAAAATCGTCGACTACAAGCTCGACCTGTCAACTGGAGGCATCGTAAGCGTCCACGAACCTGTGCCCGAGAAACCAGCCGGATCATGGCCCTGCATGGTAGTCCACGCCGCCGAGCCAGGAGAACAGGACGTGGTGATTCATGAATCGATGTCGATCCTTGAGTATCTTGAGGACGTGTTCCATGATCATGGTCGAGCGCTATCAGGATCTGATGCACGAGCGCGAGCTCATGACAGTTATTACAAGTAGAAAGTAGACGTAATTGAGGTCATTGAATGTATTCTGTAATTGTGTGTGTAAAGAACTAAGTTCTGGGAGACAGAGTCGAAGCTATTTAACCGTTTAGACACTAGTCCCGTTTAGGAAATAGTATTCCTTACTTAAAGTACCTTCCAATAACACTCCCCTATACTAAGTATATATATATACTTAGTAATATTTAAATAAAGGAAAGCTTAAAAGAGTAATAGTAAGAGATAGTACTAAGAAGAATAAAGAAGAGATATAACTATAAGAGAAACGACTAAGAGAGAAATAACTAAGAGAGAAATAACTAAGAGAGAAATAACTAAGAGAGAAATAACTAAGAGAGAAATAACTAAGAGAGAAATAACT